CCGGAGTCCTGTTGAATGACAGAAGTTTAACAATGAGGGTCCACGTTTATTGACACTGTCTTGAGATCTGCGTGGTAGGTTATCGTCTTGAATATAATCCATTTCATAATCGATGGGCAGGTAGGTAATATCGTTTTCAATAAAAGCTGGGCGTGTACCATCACCGGTGCGAGCATTGAAATCACCAGGAATAACTATCTCACAGTTTGGAAAGACTGATTTTAAGCTCAAAATATCGCTTTCCAAAATATCAAATAAATCCTCCTCGGAGTGTAGACTAGACCCCTCCGGAGAGAAATACACAGTGCAGATAAATAAAAGCGTTTGTCCTCCGTTATACTTTATCCACAGAGTGTTGCTGGATGTTGATTTAAGTCGAGTGACTTGCGTTGAAATACTGTCTTTAACAAGAGTGAGTATACCTCCCGAGTTTCGTATTGCCCCTTCGGGTTTTTTTCTCAATTGGCTAAACTTTTGATATCCAGGAAAGCTGAAGACATCATGATAGTTCGCCCTTGTCTCCACAAGAGATATGATATGAAATCTGTTAATAAAGTCCATTATACAATTATTAGTCATTTTTCTTTTCAATCCTTCAACATTCCAGATAACTATGTCAATAGCACTAGGGCTTTGTTTACAGCCTTGGCCACACCCCTAACCCTCAGTGTTTGTGTAGTTAGAACGAGGTTTCCATGGTAACGTTTTCACAGCATACAGTTCATTTTCATTTGGATTCAATTTATACAGTTTATTGTCAATTTGAATTTTGTCAAAGTGTAAGGTTGCATATTTACCATCTTCCCGTGCTTTGTCCTGGAATAGTTTTAACTTCCGTCTGATTTGTCGAATCCTCTCCGTGAAATCCTGCGAGATGTTTACATCCTGGTTCCGCAGTTTAGAAGTTGATCTCAGAATACGTGCCTTGGTTTGATAGTCTTTGAATGACACCAGTACCGGGCGATTACCGCGGGACTTTGTAGACATGCGTCGAGCACTGTATATATCAACTGATTCCTCGATTCCAAGAACATCATGGATTACTTCACGCACTTTTTCTTCAGTGGTACCCGTGGCCTCGTTACGTTCGTCAAGAATATTGTGAAAGATCAGATTATTCATCCTTACTTTATTTTCCATGAAATCAATCTTCTCATTCAGTTGTTCCGTAGTCTTTCAAAGTTCCACATTTTCTTCTGAAAGTCGAGATACATCTTCTTCTAAGGCTGTCATTTTTTCTGTTAAGTCCTTAAAGTTTTTATTTATATCTTTTCGTAAGTCTTGTATTTCTCTGCACATATCTGACTGTAAATTTCTGATCAAATCTGCAATATTTTCGTCTACCTTTTTCACGTTGTCCATTGTGCTTTGACGTGTACACGGAGTTTTCGGTGGGCCCGGGTTTTTCTCTACATCGCCGCTGACCAAGATTAGAAGTAACGAAGTAAAAAGACAGAGTTTCAATCCTGTCCTCGCGCCTCCAAGCATGTATCGCACGTGCGTTAACATGGCGTACCGTCGTCTGGTTCGCTTCAACATGAACGACACATAAGTTGTCACAAAACAACCTATTCTAGCCCTGGTAACGTTCAAATCACACGTCATTGCTTACTTCTTTCGTTTGGAGGCTTCATGAAAAACTTTCACCACTTGAGAGTCACAAATAAGCTTCTAATTTCACAGATTTGCGGAGCTCTCCGAGCATGCGACTTGTCTAGATACCCGCTAGGTGGCGCCCGAGTTTATTATGAAACATGATTATGATAACAGTGACTATTGTAATACTACAGATATACTGTCCGAAGCCATTACTGACGATGAAATAAGGGCAGCTGTTAGAAGTTTAAAGTCTGGTAAAGCACCTGGTATTGACGATGTTCCTTCTGAACTTTATAAAAATGCTTTCCATTGTGTCATATTAAATATACTTTACAATTCTGTATTTGATCGTGGCGAATTTCCAGATGAGTGGAATATTGGAATGGTTGTCCCACAGTATAATAAAGGTGACGCTCGAAATCCGGATAATTACAGGGGAATTTCGCTTTTAAATATTGTTGGTGAACTTTTCACTTCAGTACTGGAACTGAGAAAACGAAACTGGGTCGAAGTTAATGATATGCTACACGAAGCACACGCGGGATTCAGAAACGATTATTCCACTACTTACCAAATTTTTGTTCTACAATCCCTATGTCAGAAATAACTAAGAAAATCACACCACAGATTTTATGCCTGTTTTATTGACTTTAGAAAAGCCTTCGACTATGTAGATAGAAATTATTTGTTATATGTGTTATTAAATAGAGGTGTTCATGGTAAAATGTATATTAACCTTGGAGATATGTATGAACATATAAAAGCATGTGTAAGGGTTTAAGATGTGAAAACTAGTCTTTTTAACACAGCTAGTGGTGTTAGACAAAGATGAATGTTAAAGGGGAAGTGTACACGCAAAAATCACTTTCTTTCTTTTTCTAAACAAAACGCAATTTTAGAATTAGTTAGTATCTGTGTTTGAAAATATACACTCATTTTTTTCACAGTGAAAGTAGGAAGCTCACAATAGTGTGAAAATGATATGCCGTTATGAGGCCTTCGTTTTTCGAGCTAAACAGGCCTGAGTTATCCCCCTTAGATTATGACGTAATTGGTGCCAATTCAACTGGGTCCCTGTCTATTCTGAACGCAAAAGATATCAAGTACAAGTTTTCGGTAAAACAACATGGCCTACGACACACTCCGGCGCAGTGGTGACTCAGCATAACACTATGCTGGCTGGCATCTGAGATGCTAGAATCACACACCTGTACCTACACCACGTGAAGCGGCTCTAACAAAGCATGATGACGTCATAATGTTTATCAATTGGCACCAATGACGTCATATTGCAAGGGGCATAAGCCATGGTGTTTTTGTTATGGAAATAGAACACTTGGTAAATGTGAAAAATATAAATCGTTTTAATGCGAAACATATGTTAATTAATTGTGATATTTTTAGGTTAACACTTTTATTGTGGAAAAAGTACAAGAAAATTAGGTTCATTTCCGTGTGAACTTGCCCTTTAAGTCCTGTTCTTTTTATACTTTTTATTAACGAGTTTGTACGTGAAATGGAGAATCTTGGGCTAAGAGGCATATTTGTGAAAGATAATTTTGATGAAATCATGTTATTATTATTTGCTGATGATGTCATTCTTGTTGATGATTGTGTAATTGGACTGCAGAGAAAACTAGATGCTTCAGATTCTTATTGTGACAAATGGGGCCTTGAAGTTAATTTAGATAAGACAAAAGTCATAGTTTTTAGAAAGGGTGGTTAAAATTGAGGATGTTGGTTGGTTGGTTGGTTGGTTTGTTGTTTAACCGCCGCACTCAGCAGTATTCCAGCTATATGACGGCGGTCTGTAAATAATCGAGTCTGGACCAGACAATCAAGTGATTAATATCATGAGCATCGATCCACGCAATTGGGACCAATGACATGTATCAACCAAGTCAGCGAGCCTGTCCACCCGATCCCGTTAGTCGCCTTTTACGACAAGCATAGTCGCCTTTTACGGCAAGCATGGGTTGCTGAAGACCTATTCTACCCCGGAATCGAGGATGTGCCTAATGAAAAAGCACTGAAAAGGTTCAGAGTAATTTCTTTAAAAGTGTTCTTTCCGTTGGTAAAAGAACATCAACAAATGCAATTCTAGGACAGCTGGGAAGAACATCATTGTGTGTACACTATTACAGTCGTTGTATTAAGTACTGGTGTCGACTGCTTAGATTACATGAAACAAGATATCCGTATGCCTGTTACCAAATGTTAAAAGCATTTGACGAAAATGGTCAAACTAACTGGGTTTCTTATGTAAGACAATTATTGTTTCAAACTGGGTTTTCATATGTGAAAAACTTAATTAGAAAACTTAATTCCAAAATGTTACCATGTGCTGCCATCTGTACCAAAATGTATCAGTCTTCTATCTACCAGAAATTATTGTGTTATTAAAAACCTGTCCATATATTTATAAAGACATTCACCTATGTAAATACAAATGTCAAAAAAGATGAACATTTGTTGTAAGAAAATTTGTGCATGTGCACAGTATATATTATGCCTGTAAATGAACTTTGGGCCATGTGGCCTATATTCATGAATAAACTCTTCTTCTTCTTCTTCTTTATCTTCTAGAGGTAGGGTCTTGTTAGATTGCCCCCCCCCCCCCCCCCCCCAAAAAAAAAATAACAATTGTGTTTAATGAAAGCAATGACAATAAGTCCCCGATTGCAAAACTCACGAACGATGCATTGCTGGTCATCAGGTTGTAATGACTTATCAAACATGCAAAATTGAAAATATATCTAAATGCGCAACGGAAACGAACTAAGCATGCATGCACATGCAATTTAGTCCGAAGTGAGTGAGTGAATATGGTTTTACACCGCATTTAGCAATATTCCAGCAATATCACGGCGGGGGACACCAGAAATGGGCTTCACACATTGTACCACGTCAGGAATCGAACCCGGGTCTTCGGCGTGACGAGCGAAAAGTCCGAAGTAAAAAAATGATGTTCCTATTAAATTGCGTTCAGAAAAACTGGAGTGTTTTACATTTCGATTATGTATGAAGGAGTTACCTCCCTTGGATCAGACAATAACGAGCATGCCGAAGTATTGCCTCTCTCTGTTCAACCCAACATATATCGACATGCATCCACGTACAAATATAAAGTTAGCGCCTATCGGTTCGCTAAACATCACATATACGACATCCTATAATGATATATATCATCACAAATTGTGGTAGATAAAAATACTCGCATATTTGAGCCATAAACTGTTGTATGATGTATTAACATAACAATGTTATATCAACAACCACACGATATCATTTTAAGCACGCCACACTGGGTATTAATAGCGTGCATATGCTGTAGGAAACAGGAGTTATCTCCCTTACATCAATCACCAACAAACTCCAAGACAGTGTGCGCGAACGAAATCACTGCAGAGAGCTCAGTAACAAAACGAACTAGTTTCTGTCTGCAGATGGTTTTGCGCATCTCAATTCATCAACCAGTTTTAACTTCCAAGGTCCAGACGCTATCCAGATCAGCTGTAACAGGTGGGTGGGTGTGTCATGGTGTATATTTGCAAACCAGTGTTCGCGAGGGTCCTTTTCTGTTCCCTATATTTATGACATTGTCTGGGTATGTATTGCATTTTGCTGATGATCAACGATGTGTCTTACGACAGCCACGAGGCGAAAGGTTGCGTGGTGTTCAGTTCACAAACCGAAGACCGGGTCACTTTGAGATTCGATCTTATGGGCGGGGTATACAATATATTGGTTCCAAGTAGTCTTGGACAAGGGTCTCGTTGTCGTGGTCTCCGCCCACAAGGCTAGTACAGCAGTAGTATTCGACGACGAGAATTAACCTTGTCGAAATAACCTGGTTCCATAATCAATGTATGCTTGTGCTAGATCTAGATCTTATTCTTAGCAACTCATGCTGGTCGTAAGAGGCGACTAGGGGATCGGGTGGTCAGGTTCGCTGACTTGGTTGATGCATGTCATCGTATCCCAATTGCGTGGATCGATGCTCATGATATTAATCACTTGATTGTCTGGTCCAGACTCAATTATTTACAGACCGCCGTCATATAGCTGGAATATTGCTGAGTGCGGCGTTAATCAACAAACCAAAACCAAATCATTAAGTTTGTCGTATCCCAATTGGGTAGATCGTTGCTCATGATGTCAATCGCAGACTCGAATATTTACAGACTACCGTCATATAGCTGAAATATTGCTGAGGGCAGCTTTAAACAACAATCAGAATCAATCCAAACCGATTTGCCTCCATCATGCTGAGACTGTGACAGCTAGCGTTTGTCAAAAGCAGGTCTTGGAGGTTTACAGTACTTTTTGTAGTACTCCGGACTCGTATAGTTAGCCCACTGAAATATATGCTGCAGTTAAAATGAATACCCCATTCAGACACAGTATACCCAGCAAACAATTCTACGTTGTGACAAGGTTGTGACAACGTTGACTTTTCGTTGCTATAACGTTGTGATGTTACGTTGTCACAACGTAAATCTGTAGACTCACAGATTGGTTGCTACAACGTTGTGCGTAAACCAAAAAACAACCAAATCAAGATGTTGTCACAACGTCCATTTTTTACGTTGCTACAACGTTTAACCAAAACGTCGCGACAACGTAGGTATCAAATACTGTTTACATATGGCGACACTACAGCCATTGCAGCACGTTGTTGCAATGTCCATGTAGATTAACGCTTTATTCCTCAATACCTCCCAGGCACTTTAACAACCATCAAACAATAAGTCCGGCACAAATTGAAACATTTAAATTTTCTTGGCCTTACCCCATACATTCAGCATTGAGAGCAACACTGTGACAAACAGAATAGTCTATGCATCTGATGTCCTAAGATCAATTTCCCAGCAACGAAATGACAATGGTTGAGTTGACCTTTATTTATTTGTTAAATGACAAGTCAGAACTTGGGCTGAGTTGCTGAGGAGCCTTTTCAGTCCTCAAATGAAAAGTCACAGGGATGATCTTCAACTGTATCCATAGGCTCTCCTTATGCCTTTGTAACTGAATAAAAAATGACACAAATGTTATAAAATGGCAAGGCAAGGGACATATTTCTGACATAACAAAATAATGGTTGCATTCCCCAAAATAAACTGTTAAAAACTTCTGAAAGTGCGAAGAAGGCGCTGACAGTAATACCATGATGCTCTTGGATCATGCATGGCAGAAAAGCTTTTAGCACTGAATCATTGGTGTAACTTTATACCCCCGCCCTTTTAGATTGTGGGTATAATTAAATAAGAATCATCTAAATTTTAATTCTTGAAGATGTTTGTATATATTATTGCATCAGACATACCTTTCTGTCAGTGAGGTACTTTAAACAAATATGCTCCATCAATACTGTTTTCTCCACCTGAAAGAAAAACAGAAACCACAAAATATCACATTCTTAAATAAACCAGTACTGTATAGATAAATCACATTTACTTAGAGTATGATGTAACTGGTGGTAATATTGGCAAATAGTTTTATCAGTCAACAGATCAACTGTAGTTATTCAAAAGCAGTAACTTTACCTTTCTGCTGTATATCACAAACTAGTGATTCAAGTGAATATGTTGGCCAAGTTTCTAAAATCTTATTTGAAAAATATGTACATAAATGAAAAATATATATTGCCAAATAAAATAAATAGTCCCCATATTTGAAGCAAGAATGTTGAATATGAATTATGAATTGACCCACCAATAAGTGATAGAAGTGTTAACACTTTGGGGTATTTATCCTAATTAAAACTGTGATTATTTTTTTTAATACTTAGATCTACCTTAATATTTTCCATATTAATATGCCCGGTAGTTATATATGTTCTAACATTTACAAAGATTAGATACATGGGGAAATTAACAAAATGCAATAGCTTATACAATACCAGACGAAGTTGAAACAGCTCTGTAAATATTTATTGAAATTTATTTGTCACTACGTTTATTAACATAGATCTAATACAGTTAAATATCGTTTAATATAATTCTGTAGTATGGTAGCCTACGTGGCAACATATGGAGATCGAAAACCGAACAAATATTGTTGCTATCGATTCCATTGTATTTTTCATTGGTGCACATTGGCTACACCTATCTCACCTTAATAATCAACAAACGATGACCAACTCACTGACAATATATGGTGATATTTAACTTTTGACTATCGACTAGCTTATCATCACCAGCGAGGACAATACCGCAAACACCCCGTTATAGCGTGCGACGAGAGACTCGTTTTACTTTTGCTCGTTTTCATTAGAAGGGAGTCGGACATAGATCTAGTTATCGGAAAATGATGAATTGATTCTTTTTGGGAAATAATAAAAATACACATGATAAACGCCTTGCTAAAATAAACTTTATAGACAGCACCAACAACCTGATGATCCACATTTAGGCTACTTCAGTCAGTGCTAATTAGGCCTCTTCAGAAACAACAAGTATGTTTCTGTCTCTTCCCGAAAATACAATTTTTTTCATAACATCATTGAGCGCTTTAGACTAGGGCTATTACTAGCAGCCTACAGAGAGTCGATCTGAAAATACTTCCATTGTTTTGATTCCCTCTTTTCGCTGTATAAGAGAAATCGGCAACTACTTAACCTTTCCCATGGCCTGAATGAGCCACATTGTTTCACAAAAAACAAAGTCAGAAGATTAGAACATGTAAACTTTAAATAGTAATGATTTCAGAAATAACACGGAAGAAATGGCGATAACTGTCAGTGGTCAGTAGGCGATGCATATGTTAGGCCTATTTACAGACGTACACGCTTACGATCGAAACCCGAACATAATATGACAGCCACAAAACGCTGCAAGACTGAATTCTGGTCAACCATATACCGCTTGCCCTTGGTAATTACCCTTGGTATTCATAAAATAATAAAATGGAAAAAAGTCTTCAGCCCCCTTCACCTCTATCATCATGTTCTGTGTATCATATTAATATCAACACAAACGCTCAGTGAAAGTGAACGGCAAACTGCATTCTTAACCCTGCCACTTCTGAATAATACGATACATTTAAATCATTTGACGATCTGCATGTACAGAAAAATATCAACAAGCGGAGACGACTTTTGAAAAATTAACTTACCTCATCCGAATTCACAGATCATCTGTCCAGTTCCAGTTGCTGCACAATCACTTGGTCTTATTATATTATGTCCAGAATGAGTTTGAGCTAAGATGGCTGGTGACAACAAATCTTCCGTGACAATGTGACATTCTGACGTCACTTCACGAGGCAACAGGATAAACCTTTCTGCAGTCGCTCTCACGCCGCAAAAAATACGCGCCAATTGTTTTTAACTGTAATATTGCTTGTGACAACATTTAGTAGACAGATAAGTTCGTTAATAGATATATATGTTTAAAAAAAATAACACTAAGAGATGGTAGATCTACGAGTGGTTTCCTAAACATCATTTACAAAAAGTGTTGTAATGTCCAAAGCACAACGTTATCACAACGTTAATTTGCAACGTTGTTGTAACGTTGTGGAATAACGTTGTCATAGAGATACGCAATTACGTTCTGGAAATTTGAGTATAAGTGATGAAAATTCAAATGCCAAATATATAGAAAGGTAATGCATTACTACCTTGGTATTCTGACAAATTCATGTTGATTTTAATAAAGCAGTTCTATTCCTTTATGACTATTGAGAAGCAAACTCAATAACGTTTCACCGACATTTCAGAAACGTAGTTACAAAACGTTGTGTGATGTCCAATGCACAACGTTTTCACAACGTGAATGTTTAATGTTGTTATAAGGTTATGAAATAACGTTGCAGGTCGACGTTAAATAACGTTGTGACAACGTTATATCACGACGTGTGACAACGTTGTGTGTTAGCTGGGTACTGACCGAGCCTACCAGTCCTTGTTTTAACCCCTGAATGCCGAGTGCCAGGCAGGGTAACAACAAGTACCATCTTGCTACGTCCTTTGGTGTGACGAGGCCAATGACCAACACTCCGCTTTCCGGACAGACGCTCTATCCACTACACCATGGAGGCGGTTATCATGGTTAAGGGGTTGTTGAGTAGCCCAATGGGTCAGATTCCCCGTAATGTGTCAAGGCTTTGGGTGGTATCATTCATGACCAGCTCGTTATTAGTCATGCCTGACGCCATCATGGAGATAAAGTGAATCAATTGGTAAATGAATTACCAAGGTTTGTTTGTTTGTTTGTTGTTTAACGCCGCACTCAGCAATATTCCAGCTATATGACGGCAGTCTGTCAATAATCGAGTCTGGACCAGACAATCCAGTGATTGACATCATGAGCATCAATCCACGCAATTGAGATACGATGACATGCATCAACCAATTTAAGTCAGTGAGCCTGACCACCCGATGCCATCAGTCGCCTTTTACGGCAAGCATTGGACGCTGAAGACCTATTCTACCCCGTATCTTCACTGGCCGAATTACCAAGAAGGCTGACTTGATTGATGCATGTTATTGTATCCCAATTGCGTAGATCGTTTCTCATGATGTCAGTCACTGGATTGTATTGTCCAGACACGAATATTTACAGACTGCCAACAAAAAACTGGAATATTGCTCAGTGCAGCATTAAAAAACAAACAAACAAACAAAACAAACAAACAAACAAATCCAACCAAGTAACTGATCATGCCCTGTCTGAAAGTAAAGGAAAGTCAAGGGGGACGTGTCATCATCCTAATGTTAAAAATTGATTTTGGTTTGTTTTGTTTGTTTGTTCTGCAACACCGTACTCAGCAATATTCCAGCTATGTGACCACTGCCTGTAAATAATCAAGTCTGGACCAACAATCAGTGATCCACACCGTCCTGGTACGATGACACACCTCAACCAAGTCAGACCACCAAGTCTATTTTGTCGCCTCATTAAGATCTAGGTACAATAAATAAACAGATGTGAGATTATATGATAAAATATCTCAGATATATTTGTTCTCCTTTAAAATGTATCATTTTTGTGAAAGCATGCTAAATTTAAGGGAACTTACCAATACTGATAAGGATGTATTACCAATAGGTGGGACCCGTGAAGATCTGGGGTAGAATAGATCTTCAGCAGCCCATGCTTGCCATAAAAGGCGACTGCTTGTTGTATCAGGTGATTAACAGGATCGGGTGGTCAGGCTCGCTGACTTGGTTGATGCATGTCATCGTATCCTTATTGCGTGGAACGATGCTCATGATGTCAATCACTGGATTGTCTGGTCCAGACTCAATTATTTACAGACCGCCGTCATATAGCTGGAATATTGCTGAGTGCGGCGTTTATCAACAAACCAAAACCAAACCATTAAGTTTGTCTGTTCATCATCATGTATACTACTCAAAAGCAGTTAAAACACACCCGATTCTTTCATATTACTTGTTATCCTGTGTGGAGTTTGGCAATAAGGACAGGTCATTTCGGTTATTTACGGACCGCCGTCATATAGCTGGTTGATTGTTAAATTTGTCATGGAAACAGGCAATAATCATCCATGATCATGACTTTTGAATACTTGCACTCGTAATACTAATATGTCTGTGCTCACCAATTCCTTGTTACGATATTTCGAACTAGGCGACTATGCTTTTCATAAAAGGCGACTAACGGGATCGGATAGTCGGGCTTGCTGACTTGGTTGATGAATGTCATAGATCCCAATTGCGTGGACCGATGCTCATGATGACAGTCACTGGATTATCTGGTCCAGACAGACCGTAGTCAGAATTTCATATAGCTGGAATATTGCTGAAACAAACACACAACATAAAACATTAAACATAAAACATGGTCGTCTCATTGATGTAAGGGGTGATGTAGCCTGGTGGTTAAAGCGTTCGCACGTCACGCGGAAGACTCGGGTTCGATTCCCGACATGGGTACAATGTGTGAAGCCCATTTCTGGTGTCCCCTGCCGTGATATTGCTGGAATATTGCTAAAAGCGGCGTAAAACCGTACTCACTCACTCACTCAGCTTCTGTCACGGTCCGTCCCTTGTTCACCACATCGTGTACTTTAATTGCTGGGCCACGATATATCACTCACTCATTGATGTAGGAAAAATACATGCAGCAGTAGAAATTAACAACTTTAGCCCACTAGTCCTTATGATGATAGCATATAGCAAAACCTTTAAAAAGGGCAAATGTCTACTAGTCCTTATGATACCTTAACTATTGGGCAGTTTGGCTAGGACTACAGGACTAGTGACAATTTCTAACACTGATATGCCACTCAAAATAAGTTAGAGAACACCCAATTTTTGGATACCACTCTAGCTAATCTTTCATAATAATATTAATACTACTACTAATAATAATAATAGTAGGTCATTTATTTCCACTCCACACAGGGGGATGGTCAAACTATTATTACCCGATCAGTGGATCAGTTTCATTCTCAGGCGATAGGGTGTTCTGTAACTTCTTTTGAGTAGTATATATCACACAAAATGGAATGAAATGCAACTTTGTTGTGACAACATTTGCCAATTGGTTGGATTCCCAAATAATCCAGCAGTCTCTATAGGCCTATTAAATTCACAGAATTGTTGTGGGAAGAGATGCAGTTCTGGTTACACGATTTGCAAACCGTGCATACATCAGCAGTTAAAGGCGACTACGCTTGTCGTAAGAGGCAACTAACAGGATCGGGTGGTCAGGCTCGCTGACTTGGTTGATGCATGTCATCGATCCCAATTGCTTGGATCGATGCTCATGATGTCAATCACTGGATTGTCTGGTCCAGACTCGATTATTTACAGACCGCCGTCATATAGCTGGAATATTGCTGAGTGCGGCGTTAAACACAAACAAACCAACCAACATCAGCAGTTTGCTGTCATCATCAGGACACATGGACATGGTTTCTTGATAATTCATAAAAATTATTCTTGGTAATAAATATGATGCAAGTTTCATTCCCATTTCATGTCAAGTTTATGTTCATCGTGAAATAACTTTTCTAAAGCCTGGGACTGGTATCTCACTCCAGACATTAATGTGGTTGGGACATTAACTTGATATGAAATGGGAAGCTTGTCTAATATCCTCCAAGGCTGTCCATATTGTGTCCATTGGTGCTTCTCTTTATTATGACAACATATTTTGTCCAAATCATTAGGAATTCTTTTTTTAGTGTGTTTTTTAAGTGGTATTTATTCAGAATATTTTGGGGGGCACGGGTGGCCCAGTCGTCTAAGGTGCTGTGATTCACTTTGCAGAGTTGCGTCCCTTGGTCCCGCCAGAAACCTATGATTGTTGGTTCGAATCCCCATTCGCCCCCGATTATGTTTCTAGGTTTGTCAGAACCATACCCGTGTCCGTGGGTTTCACCGAAGTGGTAAACATCTGAGACCTGCATCACTTCGGGCTTTCCTCCCACATTAAGCTGACACACCACGATATAACTGGAATACTGTTAAAAGCGGTGTTAAACCCAACTCACTCCCTCAGAATATTTTTGAATTTCAATGACAGCAACTTTTGTTGAGACATTTATTACTGTTGACTCCACATCCAGGTGAGCTATGGCTCCAAGACACTATTCTTTCCATTAGGTTATGACATATGGCATATATGATTATTGTCTCCATGTATTTCAGGGTCAAGACAAAAACTTGTGACACCCAACACAACGTTCGAAAGACTTGTAAGCTCTTGGCCGCATACTCGTATTCAGGAGAACTTTGCAATGGATGAGCAAGGTGCCAGAAGCCAAAGTGACTTCACTGAGCAAGACCCACCAAATAGTGACTCTGCTGTCATAGTACTGAATCATCCTGAAAACGGCTCTGAAGTCAGCAGGGATCACCAAGAAGTAAAATCTTACTTACACATGGAAAACTCAACCTCTTTGGATGAAGGCTATTTGAGCCAAAGGAAAAGAATTCTATTGTCTTCTCACAAACAAATCCTGGCGAAGGTCATTCAGCAGAGATTGGTATCAAAGAACCTATGTCAAATGCTCAATCAAAGTACGCCAACTACCATTCCTGATGGTGAGCAACCCCTGAATGATACAGATACTAGTCCTCTGATTGTGTCTGTAAGACCAATATCACAAACTGTTTCTGGAAGCATGAAGTTGTCGTACACTATAAAAGATGGTGAGCTTCCAACAGCTCTTCAGGAGGCCAGGCAACGTGTTGAATGTGTTGAACAAACAATGATACCACAGGTCCTTCAACATGACCCCAGGGTTCCTGCTGAAGATGCTCTTCAGGAGGCCAGGCAACGTGTTGAATGTGTTGAACAAACAACGATACCACAGGTCCTTCAACATGACCCCAGTGTTCCTGCTGAAGATGCTCTTCAGGAGGCCAGGCAACGTGTTGAATGTGTTGAACAAACGTTACCAGAGGTCCTTCAACATGACCCCAGTGTCCCTGCTGAAGCTGCTCTTCACGAGGCCAGGCAACGTGTTGAATTTGTTGAACAAATAACGATACCAGAGGTCCTTCAACATGACCCCAGTGTTCCTGCCGAAGCTGTTCTTCAGGGGGCTGAATGTCTTGACCTGATGAAGATACCAGAGAGTTTTCAAGATGACCCCAATTTTCCTAGTGGAACATTTGAGGAAATCCATGACAACAGCAGTTCAAGTCAAGAGAATCTGGAGTGGGTCAGATCTCTTGGATCTGAACAAGCCATAATGTTCTTATATTCTAGTCCCAATGTTAGCAGTATCATCCAGAATACATACGACGATGAAATAATTGTGGATCAATATCTGCAACCGGTTAAGAAAAGAAAGGTGAGCAAGTGACTACAGCTGAATAGCCCATTGAAATAAAATGGAATAATCAAAACGCTGAGAGAAAACCTGACTGCCACCCTGCAGCAGATTCAGGGTAGGCAGGACAATTCCAAGAAGGAATGAGGCTGGGAAACGAATACCAAGGAATGAATCTTAAAATTGGTGATGGATTCTGAAAATGATGTTTGTGCTTCTTCTCCTGTGTGTGTTCCAGCATGTCCGGGGGCAGTCGGGTAGCCTTGTGGTTAAAGGGTTCGCTCGTCACGCCAAAGACCCGGGTTCGATTTCCGATATGGGTACAATGTGTGAAGCCCATTTCTGGTGTCCCCCGCCGTGATATTGCTGGAATATTGCTAAAAGCGGCGTAAAAAAGCACTCACTCACTCACTCACTCCAGCATGTCCATTTATATACACATGGGAAGAATGTGTGGAGATACAACTGCCATGAAATGTGTAAAACAGGTGGAGCTGAGAAGATCTCCATGAGGGTTGAGTTACTGGATAAGGATAAGTGGTGTGGAAGGCCTCTAGAGACCTCAATAGAAGGTATTTGAGATCTCAAGAGACCACTATTGGAAGAGGGAAGTGAAAAGCTCCAGTGACCTGTGTGGAGGAAAACTTTAAAGATCTCCAGTGACCTTATTGGAGGAACACGTTTAAGATCTCCAGTGACCTGTGTGGAGGAAAGCTTTTAAGATCTCCAGAGACGATCCTGTGTGGAGGAAAACTTTAAAGATCTCCAGTGGTTATGGAAGAAAAGTGTTGAAGATCTTTTAAGGTTTTGATATCTGCAGTGACCTATTATGGAAGGAAGGGTGTGAAGACATCTAGTGATCTATGTGACCTCAATGGAATGATAGGACCTTCCCAAAGAAGATGAGGAGAAAGGTTAGGAAAAAGAAGGAACTCATTTATCTCCAAACGAGGAATGTACATTAAAGACAGGATTTGGTTGGTTGGTTTGTTGTTTAACGCTGAACTCAGCAATATTCCAGATATATGACGCCGGTCTGTAAATAATCGAGTTTGGACCAGACAATTCAGTGAATAATATGAGCATTGAGCAATTGGGATCGATGACATGCATCACCCAAGTCAGCGAGCCTGACCACCTGATCCCGTTAGTCGCCTTTTACTACAAGCACAGTCACCTTTTACGGCAAGTATGGGTTGCTGAAGGCCTATTCTACCCCGGATCTTCACAGGTCTTAAAGGCAGGAAATGCAGATAATGCAGATATTTCAATGTGAATAAAAAGTTCAATCAAGAACACAAATCTTTGATTTTTTTACATTGCCAGAAGTGACAAAATGGAGAGGCAAACATCTTCGATTACCCAGTATGTAATATTTTCATTCTCTTGGGATCAATAGAGAATTTCTCCCGAGTGTCTTTGGATATTTAATATTTCAATGACAAATTACAATTTTAAAAGATGCAAGGGTGAGATTCTATTTGTCATCCAAAATCATTCTTTCAACTTTTTCAGTTAGTAAACAGTGAGAACCAGTGTATTGAGTGTAGAAACCACAGCTAACCAGCTTCAGTGGCAGAGGAATTAGTGATGTCATTCCATTGTGACCTCATGGTAACCGAAAACATCCCAGTTATCTATAGAATTGTGACGAATTTTCAGTGCTTGATTTTGCCCATGCGATATCTCCTGTGGAAGCCAGTTTGGGATGATAAATACCCTGGACCAATTCCTATAGCTCATTTTTTACCCCAATTCATAGGGCACAATGCTAATAGAAGTTGTCAAATGAAATTATTCTCATGGGTGGTATGGGGGGCACGGGTGGCCCAGTCATCTAAGGCGCCGCGATTCGCTGTGCAGAGTTGCATCCCTTGGGCACGCCAGAAACCTATGATTGTGGGTTCAAATCCCGGTTCGCCCCAATTATGTTTCTAGGTTTGTCAGCACCATACCCGTGCTCGTGGGTTTCACCGAAGTGGTATACGACTTAGACCTGCATCACTTCGGGCTTTCCTCACACATTAAGCTGACATGCCGTGATATAACTGGAATAATGTTAAAAGGGGCGTTAAACCCAACTCACTCACTCACTCATGGGTGGTATAAATTGTATTCAAGTTGGATGGGGATGTCTCCTCTGAAATGTTGCTGTGATGGCACATGGGTCCTGGGTGTTTATCGTCTTAGAATGGAGATATAATACCCTGGATAATCTGGGATAGATAATGGTATCTATGTATGAATGGGAGTTAAAATTTAGCATTGCCTGGGCAAGTTTTGGCCATAAAGCGACTCATCTTGATGAATATGATAGATGCACAAGGAGCTCTCAAAAATATTTAAGCATTCAAAATTAATGTACTTATGAACGGTTGTTTTGGTTTGATTTCTTGTTTTACGCCGCACTCCGCAATATTCAAGCTGTATGACGGCGGTCTGTATATAATCGAGTTTGGTCCAGACAATCCAGTGATTGACATCATAAGCATTGGTCTACACAATTGGGATACAAAGACATGCATCAAACCAAGTCAGCGAGTCTGACCGGCGGATCTTAGTCTACGACAAGCATAGTCGCCTTTCATGGCAAGCATGGGTTGCTGAAGACCTATTCTACCCTGGATCTTCACAGGTCTATGAATGGTTGTGAAATTGTTGAAGTTAACTTGACCCAAGACTAGACCCAAGACTAGGTGACTTATGTCATAGATTGATATTTGATGCACATGCTAGAGGTTTGTAATGATAAGATAGTATGTTGCAAAATTTGACAAAGGTCACACAAATGTGTTTCAGTTTTGGAATCAAGCTTGTGCATCTTAAAGTTTGTAAGGGTTTATTGCGTCCATACAGTTTGGACCAGTGAAGATTCCGGGGTAGAATAGGTCTTCAGCAACCCATGCTTGCCGTAAAAGGTGACTATGCTTGTCGTAAAAGGCAACTAAAGGGATCGGGTGGTCAGGCTCGCTGACTTGGTTGATGCAGGTCATCGATCCGCATTGCGTGGATCGATGCTCATGATATTAATCACTGGATTGTCTGGTCCAGGCTTGATTATTTACAGACCGGCGTCATATAGCTGGAATATTGCTGAGTGCGGCGTTAATCAACAAACCAAAACCAAACCATTAAGTTTGTCTGTTCATTATCATGTATACTACTCAAAAGCAGTTAAAACACACCCGATTCTTTCATATTACTTGTTGTTATCCTGTGTGGAGTTTGGCAACAAGGACAGGTCATTTCGGTATCAGTATAATTTTTCTGAGTGTATCCATGTTATCTCAGTGGGCTGGCACTATAAAGCCTGCAAAAGTCTAGACTTGTACAAGCAGCTTCCCATGCATGCATATTATTATCAAAGTGAAGTAATCTTAAGTGCGACCTAAACCCCATTTCACATCAACTCACTATGATTCTTTTATGTATTCTGTTTATATTAGGACCCGTGAAGATCCGTGGTATGGTAGGTCTTCAGCAACCCATCCTTGCCGTAAAAGGCAACTATGCTTCGATCTTAGCGATGGGGTACAATACTGGTTCCAACGAAGTTACCTTGGACAAGCTGGTAGGCTAGTACAGCATTAGCATTCGACGACAAGAATTAACGTTGTCTAAATAACCTGGTTCCATAATCCATATATGATTGTGCTAGATCTTAAGCAACCCATGCTGGTCGTAAGAGGCGACTAAAGGGATCTGTTGGTCAGGCTCGCTGACTTGGTTGATGCATGTCATTGTTCAACACCACACTCAGTAATATTCCAGCTATATGGCAGCGGTCTGTAAATAATCAAGTCTGACAAGGCAATCCAGTTATTGACATCATGAGCATCGATCCACGCAATTGGGATACGGTGACATGCATCAACCAAGTCAGCAAGCCAGACCACTTAGTCGCCTCTTACGACAAGCATAGGCTGCTGAAGACCTATTCCACCCCAGATATTCACAGGTTGCCCCGCTATAATATGGCTGGAATATAGCTGGAAGCTAAAAGCGGTGTTACACCCCAATCACTCACGCGTAGAGACTGATACGCCATAGGGTCACCCTACTGTGAATAGATAAAGATTCGTAATCATCTTGTTTGTTTTTCTTACGCATTAAATTGAAATTCTTTTGGATGTAAGTAGGCTTTTGATATAAATCAGAATTTTTTGAAAAAAATTCAAAAACAGCGAGGAGTAGACCATATTCAGGATAGTTTGTTTGTTTCAGGCTGCACTCAGCAATATTCCAACTATACTCAACAACAAAAGTTCCTGTGACACAAATATTTTAGTGTATTTTGCAAACAAGTAAAGTGGGGTTTTCAATATTGTAGTACATGTATGGAATCAAGTCACAAAAACGCAACTGCTACAGAAAAGCATGCATTCCCCATGCATTTCACTACCAAAGAATGGGTATAAAAACATGTGCGTTAACGGGATTCCATATCCATTGTTTAGCATCGTGCTGACAACAACCACTCAGAAAAACAACAAAATTACACAATTAATCAACAATACGAAATTCCACGCCTATCCGAAAATGAGGTAGCTTAGTGGTTGAGGCATCGGCTGTGATCATATTCGACGTAATAAGGACCCAGGGCACTTTCAAAATTAGAAATAGGGGGCTCTTTTTAGAATATTATTTTGGTGGGGAAAAAAGTTGAGTTGAAAGATAAATTTCGTGGTTTATGCTGACAGCCTGAATTGATTATATATGACAGATCTATTTTTGCAGAATTTAATTGCCAAAAATTAAGGGTGCATATAACACTCGAGTGCGTATTATACGCGAATAAATAAGTCTTGTGTACATTAATCAATCGGAAGGGGTGCTAATTGGGATTATTCACTAGCCAATATTTGAGCAAATATCGCCGTGGACGCTTATTAGAGCGGGGCGCTTATTACGTCGAATACGGTATATCCACAAGAACCCACTGGACCAAAGAAGCTGAACCAAAGCTTCCAGTCAGATGTTTTACCTGATCGCCAAGGTATCTAAAGTCATTTATTTTCCATTGCATTTGAGAATTTATGAAATTTTGTATGCGTATAGTTTTTAGTTACTACACAAAGAATATCTTACGTTTCTTTCAAAAATGTCAATATGTTTTAAATAATTATAATAATATTGAGATATATTACCATATACTAGCCTGAACACGAGGCAATGAAGCAGAATGTGCTTTCTGCCGCGTCCACTTTCATATTTCCCTACCTGTGAAGATCCGGGATAGAATAGGTCTTCAGCAACCCATGTTTGCCGTAAAAGGTGACTATGTTTGTCGTAAGAGGCGACTAACGGGATCGAATGGTCAGGCTCGCTGACTTGGTTGATGCATGTTATCGTATCCCAATTGCGTGGATCGATGCTCATGAGATCAATCACTGGATTGTCTGGTCCAGACTCGATTATTTACAGACTGCCGTCGTATAGCTGGAATATTGCTGAGTGCGGCGTTAAACAACAAACAAACAAAAATAAACATACATATATCCATAAGAGTGGGAAGATCCAGTGTAATAACACTGGTAACTGCACATGCACCATTTAGCGATTTTCGGGGATTGGTCAGTTGAAGCGATATGACGTCATACTCCATTATTGTTGAGAATCATATCTGACGTCATCCGTTGTTTTATGACGCCACACATTGATAGCATTACGTTATCTGAACTATAGGTTGACTTCAGTGATGTTGCGACCGCCTCCGTGATCTAGAGGTAGAGCGTCCGCCCGGAGAGCGGAATGTCCGGGGTTCGATCCCCGGCCGCGTCATACCAAAAGATGTTAAAAGATGGTACTTGTTGTTACCCTGTCTGGTGCTCGGCATTAAGGGGCTAAAACAAGGACTGGTCGGCTCAGAGTCAGTATACTGTGTCTGAGTGGGGTATTCATCTTAAACTGCGGCATGGTATCTCGGTGTGCTAGCACTATAAATCGGCATCAGTCCGGACTAGTACAAGCAGCCACACAAACACACACACGTGCATGCACGTCGCTATATAAGTGCAATAATCTCGGGCGCGACGTTAAACCCAATTTCACCTCACCTCAGTAATGTTGTTCTGCAGCGTTGACAGTTCTTGTGTGTATCCTTCCCAAAGTGACAATGAGCAATAATATAAAGAGAGGTAGAATCGGTCTTCAGCAACCCATGCTTGCCGTAAAAGGCGTCTATGCCTGTCGTTTCAGGCGACTAACGGGATCGGGTGGTGAGGCTCGCTGACTTGGTTGATGCATGTCATCGTATCTCAATTGCGTAGATCGATGCGCGTGATGTCAATCACTAGATTGTCTGGCCCAGACACGATTATTTACAGACCGCCGTCATATAGCTGGAACATTATTGAGTGCGGCGCTAAACAACGAACAGACAAACATAAATATATATATATATATAGAGAGAGAGAGAGAGAGAGAGAGAGAGAGAGAGAGAGAGAGACCTACCCTCGCCAAAATATTTGGGTTTATATCATTCATTCACTTGGGGGATTTGAAGGTAATGTTACCTATACTGGCATGGAACTTCGACCACCAAACCAATTACCCTATTTGACCAAAAAATATCTAGAAAAAAATTCCCTCTGGCATCCAGGGGGTTAAAACAGATTGAAGAGAAGGCATATGTTTTTCGCGGGTTCAGTCACATTGCTCTCAAAGCAGACATTACGGGTGGTTCTGTTCAGTAATTACCTTCAACTTATTAAAACTGCAGGTTATAACTTTCACGTTAATGTAGAGTTATGTAGACCATATCTTTCCTGTATGTGTGGAGGGGGCACGGGTGGCCCAGTCGTCTAAAGCGCCGCGATTCTCTGTGGAGAGTTACGTCTCTTGGGCACGCCAGAAACCTACGATGGTGGGTTCGAATCCCGGTTCGCCCCGATTATGTTTCTAGGTTTGTCAGCACCATACCCGTGCTCGTGGGTTTCACCGAAGTGGTAAACGTCTGAGACCTGCATCACTTAGGGCTTTCCTCCCACATTAAGCTGACACGCCTTGATATAACTGGAATACTGTTAAAAGCGGCGTTAAAATCCAACTCACTCATTCACTGTATGCGTTGACTAACTTGCATTAGCTATCGAAATCGTGTAGTCCATGTTCACCTCACGCTATTAAAACCGCCACGTTATTTGCTGATCGTGGGGATATTTTTCAACCCACATACGCTGATCCCAAAGGGAACTAGTCAAAATGGCCACAGACACCCTTGTCAAAATGGCCCCACCAAAATGTCAAAATCATCACATCAAAAAGTTAAAATGACCACACTGAAAAGTCAAAAGACCACATGAAAACGGACGTTTCGAGGAGGGCGCCATACTGTTTTCCAAAAACCGTGCAGGTTTTCGTTTTGCAGACATTCGCAGACTTTTCTTACGGTACGATCTGTAGCCTCCAGTTAATGACATAGAAAAAACCCAGAGCTCCAGATAAGCTGCGTATCTGCGTAAAATACGCATCAGAAATGCAGAAATACGCAGTAAAATAAAATCCAAGCGTATCAAATACGCAACGAATATTACAGATACGCTACAAAAATAAAACTTGAGCGTATCATCAAAATATTGTGAAGTAACCCTGCGTATTCCTTTAGCAAATCAGCAACTTATTTTGAAATTATAAACGGGCATTCCGTCAACCTTGCCAAACTCCACGATGACAGTTACATCATGATCATTTGCCATCACACTTTCTTGTGGAAGTATCGCGGTATTTTTGAGTCCAATAAAGCTCTATAACCCACATGACACCAGTTTGCAAGGACTAGGTGAATGGTGTTTTTAAATATTTAACTTAAATACCAACATGTTTAAAAACTAGTGGGTAACAGAAATTTGAATACCCACATAGAATTACTGATACCCAATGATTTTAAAATGCATGGGTAAAATACCCACAACACCAAAAGCTTATCTGGAGCTCTGAAAACTGATATTAAACAAAAAATGAGTGAGGAGATGCGGTAACCGCAGCTAGCATTTTTTCACCAGCTTGCGTTTTATTGTGAAAAAAAATATCGTTACAGAACAGCAATGAGATTTGACAGTTTTGTACGTTTGTCATCATACACAGTATTTCTCGAATTGTACATGTAAAACGCAAGCTCAACTGACAAAGATCATTTCTAGTCAATTGGCGTCTTTGACACTACGGTAGTCAGGTTATTACAATTTACGTAAAATGTTATTACATTTTACCGCAAGTTGAGATTATTACAATTTACGTCAATTTTTATTACAATTTACGTCAAATTTTATTGCAATTAACGTTGTTATTACAATTTACGTCAAAATTATTACAATTGGCTGCAAGTATTACAATGTACCTTTTTATTACAATTTACGTCGTAACAGACACATTTGGTAAATTTTGAAAAAAATAATGTGTCATGTCTCATTGCTGAAATAAATCGTCATAAAATCTTCGGTTGTTCTGTTATTGTAACCAAGTCTCTGAAAAGTCAGTGTACCACAAACTGTTAAACAAAATTGGTAAAAAAAGATATTTGGATTCGATCCGGCCATCAACAATTTCGTCGCATACGTTGATTTTTCGACGAACCGCTTGAAAAGCAGGAGTTACCTCCCTTCCACCCTCCCTAAACACTTCTATCGTCAATGCCTCCGCCTGGAAAGTGAATGGACTTGTGAATTCACTTCCTTGTTACTTCCCCAAATGCCTTTTTAGACAGGTAAGATTACATACATAGTCGGATGATTTGCAAACCCGGTACACATAATTGACCAGTCAGGACTGTACATTCAGCAAATCGCAGATCTCAAAATAGCCGACATCTCAACCGCTTCTGACATACGGACACCAGCAACCAGGTTGTTTTCAGCTTTGCATTCGCGTTGTGCTATTTCCTCAACATTCTGTATTGAAGATACTGATTTACCCTCGTGCGTTGCTGGTGTTTCAAGTCCGGAATGTTTTGTATTTCTGTTAAAAAGGAAATTGTATTATCATATAGCCAAGATGGCCGACAGACAGGTCTTCTCTCCGGCGGCCATATTGCATTTCTACAGTCTTCAATAAAAAAAATCGATAATATCAGCCTTATCAGTGGACTTCATTATTTTAATGTTGTTTTAAAGTATGTTTAATGTTATTATCTGTTTCATTGATCATTGTTTTCGAGATATATATTTCTACAAAATGTATGTAAATAAAGGCTTTTATGTAGGGGTCTCCCGAACACATACTTACTTCCATACTTGAAATGTATCAACAGTTTGCATAATTTTGCAGCGGGAAGATACGTATCTGTTGATTGCCGCTGCTTTTATTTTCGGGTATATGTTATAAATGTGTGTACAGATGTGTAAATGATAAATTCTTCATATTCATTTGCAAATTTAACATACATGATATATTTCATGATAAGCCTTTAGAATTGTTTGTCGATATGACAGGGTCGTTAAGCACTTGATAATTTAAACAACATTATAAATAGTATGTTCAACATTCCAGAGAGGATTCTGCAGGATTTTACAGACTAGAATAAAATAATATATAAACACTGTTGTCAGCTCAGATCAGTCCACATTTTATTATTTTTCAGTAGCTTATCAATATTAGTGAATAAAAGATATTTTATACAATATTTAATTTCATGATGAAAACGAATGTATAAGGACTTTTTGGTTGCTGAATTTATACACAGATAACTGATCTGCTGTCAGGCATCTGGGCTGGAGTTTCAGATCGGTTCATTTTCTAGGATGACGAACATTGGCATTTTATTGTAATAAATGTCCTGAAGATTTTATTTTTTTAAGTTGGTCATGAAATAGACCAATGTCCTGTCAAAAGTTAATAAAATCATTGAAATGTCTCCATCAGAATCAATGTAAATTACAGTTCTGTCCACTACCACAACAACAAACCAGAACCGGTTTGGAACTGGTCTTCAGCAACTCATGCTTGTCTTAATTAAGAAGTGATTATGCTTGTTCTAAGAGGCGACTGACAGGATTGGGTGGTCTGGGTCACTGACTTGGTTGAAGCATGTCATCGTATCCCAGTTGGTAGAATGACCCGTGAAGATTCCGGGGTAGAATAGGTCTTCAGCAACCCATGCTTGACGTAAAAGGCGACTTACGAGATCGGGTGGTCAGGCTCGCTGACTTGGTTGATGCATGTCATCGATCCCAATTGCAAGGATCGATGCTCATGATATTAATCACTGGATTGTCTGGTCCAGACTTGATTATTTACAGACCGCCGTCATATAGCTGGAATATTTCTGAGTGCGGCGTAAAACAACAAACAAACCAACCAACTTGTTCTAAGAGGCGACTGACGGGATCGGGTGGTCAGGGTCACTGACTTGGTTGATGCATGTCATCGTATCCCAATTGGTACAATGACCATAAATCAGCCATTATAGTAAAAATGTAACAATATTTGGTACAGGTGTAGTTGATGTTGGGTCTCAACACACATGTTCAGGTTTACGAGATATTTAAAGTTGGACCTTCACGCTTTGACTATGCCTCTAAATTCCATCAGAATTCATCTCCTCACACTGCAAACATTACGTCAGAAAACACTGGACCAATCACAGTGTCAGTACGAATAGGCTACGTTAGGTAATTTTCATTATTTTGATGTGTGCTATTTTCAGAGCCCTGTGATTTGTATTTATTAGATGAAGCCAGAAATGCATTTTTTTAGCATTTCCAACACTACTTTAGGTGGATGAGCATATCTCCACCACTCAGGTTTTATATCTCTTAGAATTGATAGGGGCGGTCGGGAAGCCTAGTGGTTAAAGCATCTGCTCGTGACGCTGAAGACCCAAGTTTGATTCCCGACATGGGTACAATGTGTGAAGCCCATTTCTGGTGTCCCCCGACGTGATATTGCTGGAATAGTGCTAAAAGCAGCGTAAAACCATACTCACTCAAGCACTCAGAATTGATAAGCTCCTGTACATCTGGTGCTCAGCCCTCTTTAATCTGACATGCCATGATATGACCATCTTATTCCTCTCACTTTAATCTGACATGCCATGATATGACCATCTTATTCCTCTCACTTTAATCTGACATGCCATGATATGACCATCTTATTCCTCTCACTCTAATCTGACATGTCGTGATATGACCATGTTATTCCTCTCACTTTAATCTGAATTGCCAAGATATGACCATCTTATTCATAAGGAAGAGAATTTATGGATGTCAACTTATGAGGAACACGTTTCGGTGTATATGCTTACTCCTTCATCATGTGAAATGATGTTATTCCTCCAACTTTATTCTGACATGCCATGATATAGCCGTGTTATTCCTCCCACTTTAGTCTGACATGCAATGATATAACCATGATATTCCTCCCACTTTAATCTGACAAACCATGATAAAACCATTTTATTCCCCCCACTTTAGTCTGACATGCCATGATATAACCATGATATTCCTCCCACTTTAATCTGACATGTCATGATATAACGATGTGATTCCTCATACTTTAATCTGACATGTCATGATATAACCATGATATTCCTCCCATTCTAATCTGACATGTCATGATATAACCATGTTATTTCTCACACTTTAATCTGACATGCCATGATATAACCATGTTATTCCTCCCACTTAAATCTGACATGCCATGATATAACCATGTTATTCCTCCCACTTTAATCTGACATGCCATGATATAACCATGTTATTCCTTCCACTTTAATCTGACGTGTTGTGACATAACCATGTTATTCTCCCCACTTTAATCTAACATGCCATGATATAACCATGCTATTCCTCCCCCTTTTCAAAGTTTACATTTAACAAAGTTCACTCACTTACTGACAATTTGAACAGATCATGCCAAATAACAATAGCCTTTTATTCTGGTTATCATTTTGCTGCAGAATGGTTCACATTTCCTGAATTTTTAATATTTTTTCCTTTCTTTGCTTTCCAGACTTATGACGAGCAGTGTCTGGGCAAACACGCAGATGAAATCAGAAGCACGTGCAATGAGAGAGTGATATCAGATATCCACTGATCTGACAGTTAAAATGAGAAAACATTCAACACTTCACATCTGAAACAAATCCTGGTGGATTGGCAAAAAATGGATGCAGGAGGATGTTATGGCCAAGGGGACATCATAATCAAACAGGAACCTGAAAATGATGAAGACTATGGCGCCATGTCCCAGGACTACCCAGAAGCTCCTGAAGGAGATTCTCATAGCCATGACTGCCTGGTTATGTCAAAGGCTTACTCTCAAGAAGGTCCTGAGGGGGATTCTGATAACCATGACAACAGGGCCGTGTTTCCAGGTTACTCTCAAGAAGGTCCTGAAGGGGATTCGGATAACCATGACGACAGGGCCATGTCTCCAGGTTACTCTCAAGAAGGTTCTGAAGGAGATTCTGAAGAACATGACTACAAGGTCATGTCACGTAGATACGCTCGAGAAGATTCAGTAGAGGATGATAATGAGCTCCTATCCAGGTGCTACATCCAAACTGGGACCAACAGAACCCAAAACGAATCCTATCATTTTGAGAATGAGGGTATTGGTAGATACAGTATTGTGAAGACAGAATACAGTCCAAGTGACTCAGAGGATGCTTCGACAGACACTGAATCACCCCCACGTATTACCACAGGAGAGGCTGAGCCTGAGACTGTCAGACATCCACTAGTCAAAGAAGAGAGTGTGGATGACAGTTACGATATCGCATACAACCACAGCCATGTCCATATCAAGGGGGAAGTGTTTTCCTCGGAGGAGTCGCAACAGGATGCAAACGAAGAAGAGATTGAGGAAGATGAAGATGAGACAGAATCTGAGAGAGTATTTGAAAGAACAAGGCGAGGAAGAAAAGTGAAAAGAAATCCGAGTTTTGAATATGAAAATGATTCACCCTGTTCACAAGAGGAAGATCTTGAGCAGGAGACTCAGGGAGCTTCAACCGAGTTTGAGATCTACATGGACAGAGAAGAAGAGCACGAACAAGGAATGGGCGATACATCAGTTCAACCACAGGATCTGGGAACTCCATGTGACAGGCAGGACAGAGTCCCGTGTGACGTCGAGGACAGAGTCCCGTGTGACAAAGAAGACAACAGCAAGATGATAGCTAGGTATGCCTTATACGACGTGGAGAATAGCGAAATGGTTGGGATCAAATCAGTCAACCCCAAAATGTGTGAAATGTGTAACAAAGAGTTTCAATATGAGTTCCATAAGAAGTTCCACATGCAGAAGGTCCATCCAGAGACTTTGGAAAAGGATAAGAGGAAGAATGGGAGAGAGGAGGAGTCGAGAAACAAAGGAACAAAAGGGAAGTTCAATCCTCGAGCTCGGTACAGCAAGACCTGTTTCATCTGCAGGAACAAGATCTACACCCATCCTTATTACTTGAATCTCCACATGCAAGAAGTGCACCCAGAATGGCTCATTGACAATAAGATGATTCAAAATCTTACTGCAGTTGATGAGGCAGATTCCACTCAGGCTGGAAACAAGAAAAAAGTATGCCCAGTTTGTTATGAGGGTTTTCGCTTTGCCTATCAACTCAAATATCACATTCAGAAGGCACATGCCGAGATTTTGGTAGAAGACAAAAGGGTGGACACGAGCAAGCTTCCGTCCAGGGAAGAATCGGAGATAGCTGTTGATGATCAGGCGTCAAGGTTCGTGAAACCAGTGGTGTCTACAAACCCACTTGGGGGAATAAAACTAACATACACTGTTCAGGATATTCTTAACATTAAGAGGAATATGGAGAAAGAGACTGCAGCCAAGGAAGCAAAGGAGGCACAGAGACTGGCAAAATGTCTGGAACCCAAGAAGAGGCTTGGACGGCCTCCTAAGGCTTCTGGTAGCAGAGGTCCTGGAAGACCAAGGAAAGTGTCACAGGAAGTGAAGTCTGTCCCGGAGGCTCGCAGTGATACAGTGTACAGTAGTGAAGAAAACATACAGGAGATGAAAGCACCTGCCAGTGAAGATGTTTGCATGCACATCAAGGAAGAACCGCCTGAAAAAGATGATGGTGATGATGATCAAATGTCAGTCAATGTCAGGATTGATGAAGACAGTCAAACTGGAAACAATGTTACCTCTGATAAATATTTATCTATTTGCAAAACTGATTTTGAAAAAGAAACCAATCTTGAGACTCTGCCTGCAGATGCACAGTATGGTATTTATGCACGCTCTCCGAGTCTCACACTAAAGACTGATGGTGGGGGTGGTAGAGAAATGGGTTTGTCAGAGGCAGGGTGTCCTCAGGTTAAGTTCAGATTATGTGAAGAGCAGGCCAATTCAGCAGGAAACACCCCCCTGGAATTTAGGTCAGATGTTGATGATTCTACTTCATCTGGAGTCACAATATCAGATCATTATGTATCAGAGGCTAAGCAGGAATGTAAGAAAGAGGAAACCGAGTGTGTGCCTGCTCACACTCACAACACCAGACCAAAACGGAAGCGGAAGAAAAGAGAGCTGAAGGATATGTTGCCACTAACACCAGTGAAGAGGAGAAAATGGAAAACTAAAACGGACCCTACATCAACTCAGGAAGAGAAGAAGTCCAAATCAGACAAAAGGTCAGCTAAGAATTCAAAGGGAACAATACCAGTAGGATCTGCCCACATCTACTGTGGGCAGTGTGGCAGGATCTTTGTAAGCCCACAGACGTTCCAACAACACGAGGCACTGTGCCTGACATTAGACGCACCTGTTCCCCACGCAGGGTACTACCCATGCTACAAGTGTCAGAGTGTGTTCCAGCACGTAGCCGCCCAGCAGCTGCACATGCTGCGAGACCACCCCGACATCAGCCACACCTGTCCCTTCTGTGGGAAAGTGTTCGCCTATCAGAGTGTCATGAAGAAACACTTGTACACTCACACCAATGAAGCTGTGAAGAAGGCCATCTCTGCCCTGAAGGAGGACCCGTCTAACAAAGCAACTGCCGCAGGACAAGGATCAAAACTAGTTGATCTTATTTCCAACCTTGGCGTGGAAGGTGACACGGAGTCCGACAGCCTTGAGAATAAGACTGGTGGATTAGAAGTGTCTGTTCCTCTGAACAATCTGAAGAAAGGATTGGCTATCTTGAAGTCCTTACCAGAGGTTCTGGGTCCTTCGGGATCCACAAAGGATGAAACCCTTCCTCCTTCGCAATTGACTGTAACAAGTGAGGTGAGGATTGCAAGTCCTAGGCGTATCAACATGCAGGAGTCTTGCACTGATATTTCAAAGTCGGTGATTACACCAGTGTCTGAAGCATCGGATGGTGCCTTCCGTGCCTTAAAGCATGCTCTGGGACACAACCAGAGATCAAAGTCCCCATCAACCATCACACCCTCATCAAGTGTTACACCATCCTCTTCTGTCACACTCTCTTCTGTCACACCCTCATCAGCTGTCACACCATCAACCATCACACCCTCCTCAAGTGCCACACACTCTTCTCCTGTCACGCCTTCATCAGCTCCACCTACAACATCTACATCTCCACCAGCAAAGACATACTTCTGTAAGAAGTGCAATGGCATCTTCCCAAGTCTTCCTCTACTGTACAAACACGAGATGGAGAGTCACCTCGACTTTATCTGCCGTTACTGCTCCAAAGGCTTCGTTTATGAAAATATGCTAAGAAAGCATCTGGCAGTCCACCGAGACACGGACAAGCACGTCTGCATGTGGTGTGGGAGGAGATTCAGCTACATCACAGGACTGAAGAACCACACCTTGACTCACAACGGCAACCAGGAGAGTCACAAGCTCGTGTGCAATAAGTGTGGGAAGTGTTGGTATGACACCGACGGATACTTACCCCAGGCCTCAAAACAGCTCATCGGGGACCACTTGCAGGAGTGCTTTCAAACCGTCAACATTGACGACCTTCTAAAGACCTATGCAACATTTGGTGCTAAGAACAAGTTGCAGAGGTGTTTAGAATGTGATAAAAGTTACGACCTGAATAATGAACATTCCAGGAATGTGAAGATGGCGCATGTGTTTCGATGTAAAGTCTGTCATTTTGAGTTCCAGAAGTTATTAGATCTGAAGAACCATGTCTTTGAACATCATCGTGAAGCTAGGGAATATTTTAAGGACTATAAGGTGGATCAAATATTCAACTGCGGATTATGTTCAGAACATTTTTCATATTTGTTCGAGTTTATGTGCCACATGGCTGACCATAAGAAAGACAATTTAGAAGAAAGAAATGTCTAACATAGGCATTAGACACCTGCTGATCTGACCCGTGAAGATCCGGGGTAGAATAGGTCTTCAGCAACCCATTCTTGCCGCAAAAGGCGACAATGCTTGTCGTAAGAGGCGACTGATGGGATCAGGTAATCAGGCTTGCTGACTTGGTTGATGCACGTCATTGTATCTCAACTGCGTGTTTCGATACTCATGATATCAATCACTGGATTATCTAGTCCAAACTTGATTATTTACAGACTTGGTTGATGCACGTCATCGTATCTTAACTGCGTGTTTCGATACTCATGATGTCAATCACTGGATTGTCTGGTTCAGACTCGATTATTTACAGACCGCCGTCATACAGCTGGAATATTGCTGAGTGCGGCGTTAAACAACAAACATGCTCTGAACATTACATTATTACCCTGGAAACGGGTGGGTTGAGCTGTCCTCTTCCCTTCTTCAACCTGGTTCCCCTGCTTATGTATTTACAGACCGCCACCGTATAGCTGGAATATTACTGAGTGCGGCATTAAACAACAAACAAACAAAACAAAGCAAGACTATATGTAAATCACATCTGACAATGCAATGCAGGGAAAATATATCTATATTAATTTAATAAAAATGTGAATTCATAGCTGTTGTTATTGTCCTTCTTGTGGAATATCTGATTCAAAGCGGTTTGTGACAAAACCCATCTAAACCCTCATTTCTTATTAATTGATGCACAGATTGTTTTCTCAAAACCTTTGTTTGGTGGTTGAAAAAATATGCCTCTTCAATAAAAAAATGTATGATTATCCTTAATTCTCTATTTTCGTCGTGGCAAATTGTGAAATGTGACAAAGTGTGCGAAATAATAGCCTGCCTGCTAGCCCATGGCTGGCAAAATTAGTTGGGCGAAAGATTCCGAAATGTCCCACGCCCAATTGACTACAGAAATTTTAATTTTTTATGTAACCTCATAGATGACCAAAATATAAAAGGTCTCTCTCGTTTCTGTTGATCAAAATGACCATCAAAATTGTTTAAAGTTATATTTGTAACAAATCGAGGTTGTGAAATCAGAGTTACCCCCCTTTATAATATTTGCCTCATGATTTGCAATTTGGGTTAGTTTATTGATACCTTCTCCGAATCAGATTTCTGGAAAACTAAACTGTCACTTGTGTCAGCTGGTAAAATTTGAAACTGTCTAGTAATTTTTTAGGCCAGCAAATTTAGCCTGGCCCGCAATATTTTGAGACTTTCAGATATGTTGAGCACTTTATACCATTCGATGGTAACAAGGCTACCCACTATGAACTTGAACCAATTGTGTCAGGCAGGGAAACAATAAGTTTCATAAGTTGATTATCAGGCTCTGGATTAACAAAAAGCTGGAATTTTTTAAAAACAAAACTTAAATGAAAACCCCTTCAAAGAAATTGGTCTGTATAATAAATTTTAAATATGTATGTGAATAATTAAATGCTTGTTTTTAAATTTGGTGTGATGCTTTTATCTGCTGACATTATTGAAGGCTCTGTCCAGGGGGTTAAAGTGTCGTAAAATTATTGTCCCCCTGTGTGACACGTAATCCTATCATTATCGATGTAACTATCATCAACCAGTGGTTTTAAGCCAACTCATTGCTGAGCATTTTTTAATATTGGCTAGTATTGTTTCATTGTTGGCTAAAGTGATGACGTAAATCCTGCTGGGGTATCATGCAGGAAGCAGAGGTACTGTAAGTCCCCATGATCCCCAGCGAGGTGGCCTAGCTTTGGTTCCTGGTGGCCTACAGCCCGTGTTTTAAAACTGTTTATCGTTTAACTAAAGCATTTATCCATGACATAAGCTTATGACATAAAAACATGTATGTCATACCCCAATGACATAAGTATGCAAATTAGATATGCAAATTAGATAACCGGAAGTGGGACTTTTTTCGCCGGTGCACGTGAGTAGTTGTTTACAAACAACATGGATACCTTTGATGTTGGAGACATTATTTCAATTATTCTACAAAAGTCTGTTCAAGTATTTTGTTTAAAATAATCCGGGGAACTTTTTTTCTCAGCGAAGGAATATGCCATAAAGGAGTTAAGAGGTTGTTTATTTTGGTTTACATGGCTATGAAAAACATGTATCACTACAAGTTGCTGATGTTAATGTTTAATGTAATTATTCCTTAATTGGGAAGCAAAAATGTGAAAATGATAAATAGAATTCATCACTCGTTTTTTTAATATTGGAAATATCAACCTCGTCCCGATAATCGGTATTTGCCTCGCCAAAGGCTCGGCAAATACCGATTAACTTAAGACTCGGTTGATATTTCCCATATTAAAAAACACTCATGATGAATCCTCTATATACATGATATTGTTATGCTCAAATATGTTTCATGAATTGTTTTAAAATATAGTATGCTCAAATAAGTTTCTTAATTTGTTTTTAAATATAACTTTGCATAAATAACTAAATTGTGAATATATTAACTTGGTCACGTCGCTATATGGCTTAAATAATGCCGATGCGACGTTAAATTTTAACTCACTCACCAATGCAAAAGTAATATGACAATGAAAAAGTTGTTTAACAAGCTGTCATATCAATTTCATGAATTTTTGTTCTGGAGGGTGTACAATGCATAGTCTATGTGAGATGAAATTGGTTTAAGGTTTCTTTCAAGAATACGTGCTCGTGGGTTTCACTGAAGTGGTAAACCTCTGAGACCTGCATCACTTCAGGCTTTCCTCCCACATTAAGCTGACACGCCGCGATATAAATGGAATACTGTTAAAAGCGGCGTTAAACCCAACTCACTCACTCACTCTTTCAAGAATATTTCACTGCATGTTTGTACTTGTCTGAACATATGCCAGTTTCATAGCTCTAACCCACAGAGGTGCCATAGATACCCCACTCAGAGTTGCATCCCTTTGGTGATGTGCAGGATCCACTGATGTATTTGAATGTCCCTATTTGTTGATTTCACTTACCGGTAATTGGTAAATATTTTAGATCTGCAGATCCATTTTATAACTGAAACAGGAGGCCAATCGGGCCTGTATCGCTCACCAGGATATTTACGCATTGTACATGTATATAATACTGCAAATATTTCGTAATTTGGACTCTGTCAGCATTTAAAAGGGGTGGATGGCAAATCTGACAGCATGAACGTATGTATGTATGTATGTATGTATACAAATGTAGTATAAAGATCTGAGCCGTTTCCATGTTTTCATCCAGGATCTAAGTTTCCAGAGGCAAGGCTGGACCCCAGGGCGAATCCTATTGGCATAAATGTATTATTCTCTTCATAAGAAACAAATGTATACAATGTATCTGTTTATTATAAGGTGGGGATAATATCGGTTTGCATGTTATGGTCAAGGTTCTAACTCCTTTGGGAGTGCCAGACAGATGAACAGAAGGGCCAGTCCTGGAAGCAGGGATGTATTGTCTAATGAAGATGAGCATGGGTATACATATAGGATGGGGACTTTGACGATCTTTTAAGTAATTATGACCCAAAGTCCCTTTTGAGCCGGACGCCTGGGGTGGCAACAGACTCCAAGGCAGATTTTTGGTGACATGAATGTGTTTGTGTTATGATGTCAAGTATAAGTATATATAGATTCCAAGTTAGGATTTAATTTCTCCCACCAGGCCCCGCTCCATCTATACAATGACGAGTATCAAATACCGAGAAAATCACTACAGAATTACCCTTTTTAGCCCCGCCCCTCAGTCCCCTAGGGGGGTTCAGCCCATCCATTTATCCAATCTGCATCCTCACCATTGGATAATGCTTCCAACAAAATATGGTTGATATTTATCTCTTAGTTCCAGAGAAGAAGTTGTTTAAAGCAATATAGCCAAATTACCCCTATTTGGACCCGCCCCTCAGTCCCTTGGGGGGTCAGCCCCACCATTTGTACAATTTTGAATCCTCACCACCGGAGAATGCTTCCAACCAAATATGGTTGATATATATCTCTTAGTTCCAGACAAGACGTCGTTTGAAGCAATAACGCCAAATTACCCCTATTTGGCCCCGCCCCTCAGTCCCTGGGGGGTCAGCCCCACCATTTGTACAATTCTGAATCCCCACCACATAGGGATGCTTCCAGTCAAATTTCGTTAATTTCCAATCAGTGGTTCAGAAGAAGAAGTCGTTGACGTACGGATGACCAACGCCACGGTATGGCATAAGCTCACCTTGGTCCTTCAGACCAGTCGTGCTAATAATAATTTATTCATAAAACAATTCACTCATGTCAAGGAAATGAAAGCTTTATTGGGGGGGGTTAAGTAAAAAATATTCAAATTAGGGAAAATGTTTAAGTATTGTCTTGATGATGTGCTGCCTTGAACAAAATATTGATTCACTTGCCCTCACTCCCTTAAGAAAACAGGAAGCACGGGTGGCCACGTCATCTAAGGCGCCGCGATTTGCTGTGGAGAGTTGCATTGCTTGGGTTCGACAGAAACCTGTGATTGTGGGTTCGAATCCTGGTTATGTTTCTGGGTTTGTCAGCACCATACCCGTGCTCGTGGGTTTCACCGAAGGTGGTAAACGTCTGAGACCTGCATCACTTCGGGCTTTCCTCCCACATTAAGCTGACACGCTGTGATATAACTGGAATACTGTTAAAAGCGGCGTTAAACCCAACTCACTCACTCACTCACTCACTCACTCACTCACTCACTCACGTCACATAGCTAGAATATTGCTTGCTGTAAAAGGTGACTCTGCTTGTGGTAAAAGGTGATAAACGGGATCGGGTGGTCAGGCTCGCTCAATTGCTTGGGACCCGTGAAGATCCGGGCTGGAATAGGTCTTCAGCAACCCATGCTTGTCGTAAAAGGCGACCAACGGGATCAGGTGGTCAGGCTCGCTGACTTGGTTGATGCATGTCATCGATCCCAAATGCGTGGATTGATGCTCATATCAATCACTGGCTTGTCTGGTCCAGACTTGGATTATACATGTATACAGACTGCCGTCATATAGCTGGAATATTGCCGCATTACCTAGTGTGGAAGCAGTGAACTCAGATTAATAAGACAACATGACACATGAGTAGAAAATACAAATTGGTTTATTATCAAATTATGTACACATTGTTTCGAAATAAATTCTCTGGAATGTTGATAAATCAATTACAAAACAAGTTTGGGATGAATCTTGATAACACTGAATATTTAGAAATTCAGTATCAAATATATCACTATCCAAGTTACTGTTGGTCTTCATGTTATTAGTACAGAATGTGTAAATTACTTCTTGTTTTGTAAGGGAGAAATTGAAAAGCTGATTACAGAAAAAAATAGTTTCTTCATTTTTGGGGGTGGTGTGGGGGGAAGGGTGAGAGACTTCCATCCCACAAAATAAAATTTTCAGTCAAAAGAAAGAACAACTATATTCACATTTGTATTATGAAAATGATTGACATCTCAATGGTAGGTATTATAACCGGATGACTGGAAAAGCAGTCACTCTTTCCACGATTAAGTTTTCGGTGTGGCAGGGGGGTAGGTCTCAAAACTTGGAACTGCATTTTTTAATCCTACATTAAGCTTCTGAATTTCTCCCTAAGATTTGTCAAAAGTATTATGATGAAAGCTACATATGGTTCCAAATAGAAATCAGATTCTCACTTTTCAAACGAATATATTACATCTACGTTCGAGTCTTTGAAAGGCATTTAGAAGTGATACCCATAATCTAGGTTCTAGTTGCTCGATAGTTGATATATTGATGCGACTTCTAATTACCAACTCACGCCAAGTCGAGTTGATTACCATGGTTACATGATTTCCTATATACAGATGAATGAGGCTGAATCAATATGATCTTGTATGTACACATTAAGAATATCCAACGTTTGCCATAAAAAAAAAAGTTAAAAATATAATTGAATTATTGCGTAAACTCATTAACTGTTATACAGCGTACATACATCCGAGAGTGATAAGTATAGTTTAGCATATTCACACTTACATGAGAGGAATTAATGTACACCGCTGAAAATGATTTACCAGAGCTCCAGATAAGCTTTTGGTGTTGTGGGTATTTTACCCATGCATTTTAAAAACATTGGGTATCAGTAATTCTATCTGGGTATTCCAATTTCTGTTACCCACTAGTTTTTACACATGTGGGTATTTAAGTTAAATGTTAAAAAACACTATTCATCTAGTCCCTGCAAACTGGTGTCTTGTGGGTTCGAGAGCTTTATAGGACTCAAAAATACCACGATACTTCCACAAGAAAGTGTGATGGCAAATGATCGTGATGTAACTGTCATCGTGGAGTTTGGCAAGGTTGACGGAATGCCCGTTTATAATTTCAAAATGAGTTGCTAAACGAAAACGCAGGGTTACGTCACAATATTTTGATGATACGCACAAGTTTTATTTTTGTAGCTTATCTGTAATGTTCGTTGCCTATTTGATACGCTTGGATTATATTTTACTGCATATTTCTGCATTTCTGATGCGTATTTTACGCAGATATGCAGCTTATCTGGAGCTCTGTTTACAATTGTGCTTCTACTTTGTTTCTTATGACATAATAAGACCTTAATCATGGTAATATGCTCCTTAAATATCACATAAAAAGAATTGTTAAAAGCTATGAAATTTCAAATAATTATTTAAACACTCAGTTATTCAATTCCCACTTATGTTTTTGTATTAATTGATGACTTGACTGAAAATAATGTTGCATCATTAAGGGCAGACCAAGAATCGTAATCATACAAAGCAGATCCTGGCATAGCAAAGGGACACAACTCTGATCTTCAAGTTGTGTCACCTTAGATACTTGGCAGGATTGTTAGACAGTGAAGGAATAGCAAAAAAACCAATTTGCTCTTTAACAATACAATACACATCGAGAGATCTAGGGATTTGGATTCTTGTCACTTACAAACTTATGTCACAGTAACTTTTTCCTTTGAGTATATGTAAATCCCATAATCATGATAATACTAGTCTTTATTCTAATACAGTTTACACTGAACTTGATACAAACTTGTATACAATTTCTGCCCTGTTCCTCTGTCAGAGAAGACTGATTAGATATTCTCCTTCAAGATTCCTAGCAATAAACTGCTTTCATACATTGTCACAAATTGAAAAAATAATTGTTGCCTAGGGTTACAAAAAAGCCAGCTGGTATTTGACGGACAAGTAAGTGGACTCAGAATATATACACAGATTTGTAAAATGTCACGCACAGAATACGACATCCTATTAGTTATGGACATGACACGACATGACATGTCATGCTACGTTTGCATGACTTTCATGATAACAAGCATCTGGAGACGCCTTCATGCATATGTCAAGATCACCCCAAATATAAACATTCTTTTTCCTTAACACTGATCGGATGAAATTAAAATACCTACAAACATTCAAAAACTATACATAATGAATAAAACAAAACATTTTTAATTAATATTTGTCAAACTGAAATAGACCTGAAGCACCATACTTCATTATAGCATTCAAAGTGGGAATATTTGTTTGTCTAACAAATGTTTTAAAATCAAATTACTTTAAACCTAAACATGTGTTGCAATTAATGCATGAAATCAATCTATAATCCTTAATGGTGGTGACTGATAAAAATATTCTCAAATAGAACAAATATGCTATACCGTATTCGACGTAAAAAGCACCCCGCTCTAACAAGCACCCACGGAGATATTTGTTAATATATTGGCTAGTGAACAATCCCAATTAGCACCCCTTCCGATTGATCAATGTACACAAGACTTATATATTCTTATATAATATGCCTTCGTGTGTTATATGCACCCTTAATTATTGGCAATTAAATTCTGGAAAAATATATCTGTCTTATATAAACATTTTAGGCTGTCAGCATATACCACGAAATTTACGATTTTTTCACCAAAATAATATTCTAATAAGAGCCCCCTATTTCTTATACTGAGAGCACCTTGGGCGCTTATTACGTAGAATACAGTATGCAAGAAGCTGCCGTTGCTAACAACACAAGTCCTACTTAAGTTTCTTGGCACACACTGTCCTATTACTGAAGATGATCACAGGTTAAAATTTTAATACCATACCACTGGCAAAGTTAAGGATAACAAAATGTCTTAAATATCTTGAACTGGGTGTTCACAGTAAATCATTGCATATATACAAATCCTGAAAAAGAGCAGAATACAGATTTTTCAACTGAATTTATAAGTTTTTGAAAGGCATTTGGAAGTGATGCATAAAAGGAAGACAATTTATGGATGTCAACTTCTTAATTATAAGTAACAACATTTCGGGGTGTGTATACTTACTCCTTCATCACAAGAAGTAATTAAGTATATACTCATTCCTCATAATAAAGAAGTTGACATCCATAAAATCTTTTCCTTATGAATGTATAAGTCCAGACAATTTTAATTTCATGTTTGCAGGATTTCATTAAAATGAAGGTGGGTCATTTTCTTAAAAAGATGGGAAGTGACAATTCTCAAAACAATTTTTGAAATGTTCTTTCTTAAAAAAGTATACAAGCAACATAAAAGTATATCAACACGTTTTTCATATTACCATTTGCAAAATTGGTGGTCAATTAATCAGACTAATTTTTTTTTTAAACAAGAAAATAAATTGGTCTGGTCAAATTAATCAAACTTATTTCCATACGCCCTGTCACAGGGCTGGCCATCACAGGAAGTCTGTGACAGCAGCTCATCAACCCAATTGTTCATCATTTTGTTTAATGGATGGATACGGAGGAAAGTCTTGAAGGCATGGCTGGTACTATGATTACTGTACATGCAGATCCACAATACTTCACAAGGATGAATACACTTCATTTCTCCATCACAACTCAATACACTCAGACATTGTGTCTACCGTATTTGACGTAATAAGTGCCCCGCTCTAATAAGCGCCCATGGTGACATTTGCTAATATATTGGCTGGTGAACAATCCCAGTTAGCACCCCTTCCGATTGATCAATGTACACAAGACTTATTTATTCGCATACAATATGCACCCGTGTGTTATGTGCACCCTTTATTATGGGCAATTAAATTCTGGAAAAATACATTGATCGTATATAAACATTTCAGGCTGTCAGCATAAACCATGAAATTTATCTTTCAACTCGCTTTTTCACCAAAATAATATTCTAATAAGAGCCCCCTGTTTCTAATTTCGAGAGCGCCCTGGGCGCTTATTACGTCAAATAGGGTATTTTCAGTCCGTTAATGAAACAGAATATATAATATCAACGTCAGAGAATTACCAGTCCCGAATATATGACGGACCAGATTCCATTGGGCGAAAAAGGCAAAATAGAGGTGAAAATTATATGAATGGATCACTGAAAATCAGTGATGACACCAGGTGTTCGCGAAAAGGGTAAGCATGTCCTGCCCTCATGTAAACCAGTCCCATGTTGAACATGTTTCAAACCCTATGCCAGACATTCATGCAATGTCCACACCCAAAGGCCACAAGGCAAAACATGGCTTTTTCTATAAACTAAAGTTAACGCGTAGTAATAAGATTTTCCTCCACTCGCATAAAAACTGGAAAAAAAAAATTCTTTTCAGATTCTTATTTCAATGTTTGAATTTCTGTTAGAGTGTGACAAAAATTTGTAGATACGAAATGTTCATCTTCTTCCTTTCGAAACCAATGTGATCTGCGTGTCGATTGGTCGGAAAAATCTGGGACCAATCTCAAAATAGCACTACATTGCGTAAGTGCCTGGTTTATCGACAGGTGACAGAAGAACGCCATGTATACAAGCCAAAGAAGTGTTGAGGTCTGCGATGGTCCTACGTTCACAAGTTGAGTCGATGGAGGAGGCATGTTGACAGCAGCATCAGCAGCGTGGTGGCGCTGATGACCAGCGCGGACGAGCGACTGTTGATCTGCCCCGTCCTGTCAGGCGTCGGCTGGTCGGAGGCTGCGGAGGAAGGGGCACACGTAATTTCTGTTTCAAAACTACGTTAGATTTTATTTGATTCTGAGGTGAGGTGAGGTGAAATTGGGTTTAACAATTTCAAATGCTTTTGGCTACCTACAATATTGGCTTGACTTCTTGATTTTACCACTGGCTACCTGGAAAAAAATACTTGTAGCCATATAGCTACTTGGTAAAAATTTAAACTTTGAGGCCTGTCACAAGTCCTTGGTCTTGCCAGTGAAGGTGAGGTGAAATGGGGTTTAACGTCGCGTCCAAGATTATTGCACTTATATAGCGACGTGCATGCACGTGTGTGTGTGTGTGTGTGTGTCAACTTGTACTAGTCCGGACTGATGCCGATTTATAGTGCTAGCTCACTGAGATACCATGCTGCAGTTTAACATGAATACCCCACTCAGACACAGTATACTGACTCTGAGCCGACCAGTCCTTGTTTTAGCCCCTTAATGCCGAGCACCAGACAGGGTAAGAACAAGTACCATCTTTTAACGTCTTTTGGTATGACGAGGCCGGGGATCAACCCTGGACCTTCCGCTCTCCGGGTGGACGCTCTACCACTAGACCATGGAGGCGGTCTTCCGGTCTTGCCAGTATACAGCATTCATAGTGGATACTGGAACTCTATTCAGACCTATTGCGCAGAGCTCCAGATAAGCTTTCGGTGTTGTGGGTATTTTACCCATGCATTTTAAAATCATTGGGTATCAGTAATTCTATCTGGGTATTCAAATTTCTGTTACCCACTAGTTTTTACACATGTGGGTATTTAAGATAAATATTTAAAAACACTATTCATCTAGTCCCTACAAACTGGTGTCGTGTGGGTTCGAGAGCTTTATAGGACTAAAAAATACCACGATACTTCCACAAGAAAGTGTGATGGCAAATGATCATGATGTAACTGTCATAGTGGAGTTTGGCAAGGTTGACGGAATGCCCATTTATAATTTCAAAATGAGTTGCTGATTTGCTAATCGAATACGCAGGTTTACACCATAATATTTTGATGATACGCACAAGTTTTATTTTTGTAGCGTATCTGTAATGTTCGTTTCGTATTTGATACGCTTGGATTTTATTTTACTGCGTATTTCTGCATTTCTGATGCATATTTCTGCATTTCTGATGCGTATTTTACGCAGATACGCAGCTTATCTGGAGCTCTGCTATTGTGTCTGTGGTGTCGGGATACAGAAAGTAGTCCACTCACCATACAGCTCAATGGCAGCCTCTCCATCCCCTTGTTCGTTGGTGGCAGCACACCGGAAGTTTCCGTAGTCCGACGGCTGCACTCCCTTGATGGTGAGGATGCTCGTGATGCGGTTGTAGGCTCCGGGTATGTTTGTAATCTCGAATCTGAAGTTACATGGGCATGCTTACTAACCATGATAGAAACTGGTGTGTGGGTTTATTAAGTCCTGTCAAGACCATCTGGGCTATAATCAAAATCTATATTGAGATAAAACGGTTCTTACTTCACGAAGTGCATCAAATCACTTGAGTGCCTTGATTAAAAACATGAAAAGATTTGGAAAATATCTCTTGACGCCAAGTTGGCAGTACATATGCCTTGCAAATCCTGCAATCGACTGAAGTCTGCACAGAGGTATACGAACCAGGATGTCGATTTCGTTAAGCGATTTTGATTGGATTATGCATTGACTCGTTAGTCTAGCCAAAATATAACTCAATAATTCCAACCTAGTTCAGTAAGGGTGGAAACTGGACTTTTATAGGAGTTAACAGGAGAATATGGGGCTGAGAGAGACTTACCTCCCCTGGGAGTATATGGGGGCTGAGAGATTACCTCCCCTGGGAGTATATGGGGTTGAGAGAGACTTACCTCCCCTGGGAGTATATGGGGCTGTGAAAGGCTAACCTCCCCTGGGAGTATATGGGGCTGTGAGAGACTTACCTCCCCTGGGAGAATATGGGGCTGAGAGAGGCTTACCTCCCCTGGGAGTATATGGGGCTGAGAGAGACTTACCTCCCCTGGGAGTATATGGGGCTGAGAGAGACTTACTTCCCCTGGGAGTATATGGGGCTGAGAGAGGCTTACCTCCCCTGGGAGTATATGGGGCTGAGAGAGACTTACCTCCCCTGGGAGTATATGGGGCTGAGAGAGACTTACCTCCCCTGGGAGTATATGGGGCTGAGAGAGACTTACCTCCCCTGGGAGTATATGGGGCTGAGAGGCTTACCTCCCCTGGGAGTATATGGGGCTGAGAGAGACTTACCTCCCCTGGGAGTATATGGGGCTGAGAGAGACTTACCTCCCCTGGGAGTATATGGGCTGAGAGAGACTTACCTCCCCTGGGAGTATATGGGGCTGAGAGAGACTTACCTCCCCTGGGAGTATATGGGGCTGTGAGAGGCTTACCTCCCCTGGGAGTATATGGGGCTGAGAGAGACTTACCTCCCCTGGGAGTATAGGGGGCTGAGAGAGGCTTAGCTCCCCTGGGAGTATATGGGGCTGAGAGAGACTTACCTCCCCTGGGAGTATATGGGGCTGAGAGAGACTTACCTCCCCTGGGAGTATATGGGCTGAGAGAGAATGACCTCCCCTGGGAGTATATGGGGCTGAGAGAGACTTACCTCCCCTGGGAGTATATGGGCTGAGAGAGACTTACCTCCCCTGGGAGTATATGGGGCTGAGAGAGACTTACCTCCCCTGGGAGTATATGGGGTTGTGAGAGGCTTACCTCCCCTGGGAGTATATGGGGCTGAGAGAGACTTACCTCCCCTGGGAGTATATGGGGCTGAGAGAGAATGACCTCCCCTGGGAGTATATGGGGCTGAGAGAGACTTACCTCCCCTGGGAGTATATGGGGCTGAGAGAGACTTACCTCCCCTGGGAGTATATGGGGCTGAGAGAGAATGACCTCCCCTGGGAGTATATGGGCTGAGAGAGACTTACCTCCCCTGGGAGTATAAGGGGCTGTGAGAGGCTTACCTCCCCTGGGAGTATATGGGGCTGAGAGAGACTTACCTCCCCTGGGAGTATATGGGGCTGAGAGAGACTTACCTCCCCTGGGAGTATAGGGGGCTGAGAGAGGCTTACCTCCCCTGGGAGTATATGGGGCTGAGAGAGACTTACCTCCCCTTGGGGTATATGGAGCTGAGAGAGACTTACCTCCCCTGGGAGTATATGGGACTGAGAGAGACTTACCTTCCCTGGGAGTATATGGGGCTGAGAGAGACTTACTTCCCCTGGGAGTATATGGGGCTGAGAGAGAATGACCTCCCCTGGGAGTATATGGGGCTGAGAGAGACTTACCTCCCCTGGGAGTATATGGGGCTGAGAGAGACTTACCTCCCCTGGGAGTATATAGGGCTGAGAGAGACTTACCTCCCCTGGGAGTATATGGGGCTGAGAGAGAATGACCTCCCCTGGGAGTATATGGGGCTGAGAGAGAGACACTTACCTGCCCGCAGAGTATATGGGGCTGACTGAATGAGACCATGACACCTGCTCGGTTGTTGGGACAGGGTAACCCTTGACGATGCAGATCAAACTCTTGTAGTAGCCGGGAGCCTGGCCCACCCTTGGACTCTCCACTGTCACTCGGGGTTTAACTGGAAACAGTGAGTGAGTGAGTTGGGTTTAACACCGCTTTGTACAGTATTCCAGTTATATCACAACATGTCAGCTTAATGTGGGAGGAAAGCCTGAAGTGATGCAGGTCTTAGATGATTACAACTTCGGTGAAACCCACGAGCACGGGTATGGTGCTGACAAACCTAGAAACGTAATCGGGGTGAACCGTGATTCAAACCCAGTCATAGGTATCTGGCGTGCTCTAGGGATGCAACTCTGCACAGTGAATCGCGGCACCTTAGACGACTGGGCCACCCATGCCGCCATCGATAAACAAGAGGTGCTTGGGTTCAATCTGATGCAATCTCAGATATTCACCACTTTTGGGAAACCCACGAGCACAGCTACAGTGCTGACAAAGCTAGAAACATAACCGGGGCAAGCCCGCAATCATAGGTTTCTGACATGTCAAGGGATGCAACTCTGCAGAGGGCATTGCAGTGCCTGAGACGACTGGGCCACCGGTACCGCCAGAAACTCGAACTGTTTAGTTACTTGTTCCTCACATTTCGAACCTATTATGTGAAATTGATATTAAGAGACGTAAGTTCAAGTAAATAGACAGACAACAGGCAAGGCCACAACATAAGTTCACAAGGACGGTGTCAAGGTGAGCTTATAATAAATCAAAACAGTTCTTATTTTATTTTCTGATGGCTTTTGGTTTCCTGGCCCGGCCCCATCCACAAACTTTCACAAAGTGATCGTAGCACGAAGACATTCATAAATCCCATACTTTAACATAGCCTCCTGATAGTCTTAGCACTGTGGTCACTTGGTGGAACTGGGCCCTGGTCAGTCAAATACGTAAACTGAATGTAAAAAGGTATTGTCCTCAACTTGTGATGATAGTGAGTGAGTTTGATTTAACGCCACTTTTAGCAATATTTCAGCAATATTACGGCGGGGGACACCAGAAATGGGCTTCACACATTGTACCCATGTCGTGAATCGAACCCGGGTTTTCAGCGTGACGAATGAACGCTTTAACCACTAGGCTACCCGACCGCCCCTACTTGTGATGATACACGTACGTCCAAGTAAAGCAGATGCACACTTACATTTCACCTGCAGATAGATGTTCCTGTTGTCCTGGCCTGCGAAGTTCTTAGCAGTGCATTTGTAGATCCCAGCATGTTCTGCCTTGGCGCTAGGGATGTTCAGAATATTGTCCTATGAACAGAACCAAGTCTCGTATTAGTCTTTGGATGTGGGAGAGGTAAATGGGGTTAAATGACCCATTCAAGATTAATGCACATGTGTGACTGCTTGTACTAGTCCGGACTAACGCCAACTTTGCAGTGCTAGCCCACTGAGATACTGTGCCGCAGTTTAACATGGGTACCCCACTTAGACACCGTAAACTGACTCCAGGACGACCTTGCTTTTACCCCCTTAATGCCGAGAGCCAGACGATAACAAGTACCATCTATTAAACGTCTTTTGGTATGATGCAGCCGAGGACTGAACCACTGACCTGGGCCCCATTCCTCAAAGCGATCTTAGCGCTACGATGATCGTAAGCCTATGGTATAATATGGGACTTACGATCACCTTAGTGCTAAGTTCGCTTTGAGGATCGGACAGACGATCAATCCACCAGATCAGAGTCGGTCTTAGCCCTTGGAGTCAGTGGGGGAGGTTTGGAGTGGTTGCAAACAGCTTTACAATTTCTCAGAATTATCATAACTATGGTTATCAAGGATGTTTGTTTGTTGTTTAACGCCGCACTCAGCAACATTCCAGCTATATGAGGCAACTGTAAATAATCCAGTCTGGACCAAACAATCATTTATCTATTATTCAACAAAACGTTAAGTCTACCATAATAACTGGTAAGTGTTTGTTTGTTTGTTTGCCGTTTAACGCTGCACTCAGCAATATTCCAGCTATGTTAAGGTGGTCTGTAAATAATCGAGTCTGGACCAGACAATCCTGTGATTGACATCATGAGCATCAATCCACACAATTGGGATCGCTGACATGCTTCAACCAAGTCAGCGAGCCCGACCTCCCGGTCCCATTAATAGCTTCTTACGACAAGCTTAGTCGCCTTTTACGGCAAGCATGGGCTGCTGAAGATCAATTCTACCCCAGATCTTCACGGGTCCCACCTATTGGTAATACATCCTTATCAGCATTGCTAAGTTCCCTTAAATTATAGCTTGCTTTTCTGAAAATGTAACATTTTTAAGGGGAACAAATATAGCAAGTCTGACCACGCGATCCAATTAGTCACCTCGTATGACAAGCATGGGTTACTGAAGACCTATTCTGACCCTGATTTTCACGGTGCATAATGGTCCTCAAGTGACCAAGGCACCGAGTCTGACAAGCAATACAATTCAATCGCTTCGTATCACAAACATAGGTTGTGGGACCTACAACAAGTCTACAAGTAAGTAGTTTCCCACATTGCATCCATGTGCATCCTTGTGTTGTCCACCATTGAAACCAACTATCTATAACATGGGCATGCTGACAAGCATGGATTACTGGTGACCTATTCTACCCAGACTCTGCAAGGGTGTATGTGAAAGTGGGCGTGTCTCATCTGTAGTATATAAAGCATGGATTAATGGTGACCTATTCTACCCAGACTCTGCAAGGGTGTATCTGAAAGTGGGCGTGTCTCACCTGTAGTATATAGGGATGTGAGCAGGTTTTCCCGAAAAAAGAAGAAAATTCTAGGGGTTTTTTTTAAACATTTGATTGCATTTTAAGCAATTTCGTGCAGTTTGGACAACATTCACACCAAGAAATGTAATAAGTCAATGGCAAAAATCAAAGTCAAATAAACAAGATGGCAGATGCAGTAAAATTTCGAAGTTAAATCAGTACTTTTAAAAAATCGGGCATAGCTTTCGCGCCCCTGGCTACCCGCCAAGTCTGGGAGCAATACTGCCATAAACTTCAACCCCCATCCCCCAGACACAAGGACAACTGTCACAAGCTTGCAATGTCTGACCCTTTCCCCATGTTGAAGCATATTGAAAAAAAACTTACCTTGTACTTACCTTTTGATGAAAAAAACAAAATTCCATTGCAAACATAAGACATTAATACAACATATATCCCCATGTTATGGGGTTTTGGACGCTAAAGAAACATTCATAGTTTTCTCGCTAATCACTTGAACAACTGTAAAACATTCACTTACAGGCGAAAAGACAACTTTATCTTAAAAACAAGCCATCAGCTGACTCTGAGTATTTACAATTTCTGTGTGACGCCACACCCCACGTTATAGTGCAAGTATTCATGTTAGAAAAGGTTTGATGTCCGAAAACCTATGCTGGTGAAAGATCTGATCGAAAACAGGACAAACCGCAATGTTTGTCCGGTTTTCGATCATATTTTTCGGAGTGTTTTTTTTCAATTTTTTTATTTAATTTTTACGCGGAAGATGATTTTTTCCGAGGACTTCTGTTTTAAAAAACGCAATTTTCCGCGTTTCCGCGGAGATTTCACATCCCTGAGTATATAAAGCATGGATTACTGGGGACCTATTCTACCCAGACTCTGCAAGGGTGTATCTGAAAGTGGGCGTGTCTCATCTGTAGTATATGACAAGCATGGATTACTGGGGACCTATGCTACCCAGACTCTGCAAGGGTGTATCTTAAAGTGGGCGTGTCTCATCTGTAGTATATAAAGCATGGATTACTGGGGACCTATTCTACCCAGACTCTGCAGGGGTATATCTGAAAGTGGGCGTGTCTCATCTGTAGTATATAAAGCATGGATTACTGGGGACCTGTTCTACCCAGACTCTGCAAGGGTGTATCTGAAAGTGGGCATGTCTCATCTGTAGTATATAAAGCATGGATTACTGGGGACCTATTCTACCCAGACTCTGCAAGGGTGTATCTGAAAGTGGGCGTGTCTCATCTGTAGTATATAAAGCATGGATTACTGGGGACCTATGCTACCCGGACTCTGCAAGGGTGAATCTGAAAGTGGGCGTGTCTCATCTGTAGTATATGACAAGCATGTGTTACTGGTGACCTATTCTACCCGGACTCGACAAGGGTGTATCTGAAAGTGGGCGTGTCTCACCTGTAGTTCTTGTCCCCCTGTTGGTAAAAGCTCCCCTGCCATACGACTCCAGGCAACGGTGGGGAAGGGGCGTCCCGTTGCATTGCATCTCAGCATCACCTTGTCTCCCTCCTTAACAGTGGTGTCGCTGCTGGTGGACAGGTCCGATATCCTAGGGACCTCTGAAAACAGCCAACAAACTTAATCAAGACAAAGAGAAAAGAATTGCCTACAGATTCAGACCTAAGACCGACAGAGTGGTCTAGTGGATACAGTGACACGAGTCGTATCTATGTTAATGTTATATATAGTGTCGCACCTGTCACCTTGATGTCCGCTACGGCCTGGACGTAGATCTGCGAGCCTGTCTGCACCCTCAAAGTTAATAACACAAGTATCTATGTAAATGTTATATATAGTGGCGCACCTGTCACCTTGATGTCCGCTACGGCCTGGACGTAGATCTGCGTGCCTGTCTGCATCCTCACGGTTAGTGACACGAGCCGTATCTATGTAAATGTTATATATAGTGTCGCACCTGTCACCTTGATGTCCGCTACGGCCTGGACGTAGATCTGCGAGCCTGTCTGCACCCTCACAGTTAATAACACAAGTATCTATGTAAATGTTATATATAGTGGCGCACCTGTCACCTTGATGTCCGCTACGGCCTGGACGTAGATCTGCGAGCCTGTCTGCACCCTCACAGTTAGTGACACAAGAATCTATGTAAATGTTATATATAGTGTCGTACCTGTCACCTTGATGTCGGCTACGGCCTGGACGTAGATCTGCGAGCCTGTCTGCACCCTCACAGTTAGTAACACGAGTCATATCTATGTTAATGTAATATATAGTGTCGTACCTGTCACCTTGATGTCGGCTACGGCCTGGACGTAGATCTGCGAGCCTGTCTGCACCCTCACAGTTAGTGACACGAGTCATATCTATGTTAATGTTATATATAGTGTCGTACCTGTCACCTTGATGTCCGCTACGGCCTGGACGTAGATCTGCGAGCCTGTCTGCACCCTCACAGTTAATAACACAAGTATCTATGTAAATGTTATATATAGTGTCGCACCTGTCACCTTGATGTCAGCTACGGCCTGGACGTAGATCTGTGAGCCTGTCTGCACCCTCACAGTTAGTGACACGAGGCCTGGACGTAGATCTGCGAGCCTGTCTGCACCCTCACAGTTAGTAACACGAGTCATATCTATGTTAATGTTATATATAGTGTCGTACCTGTCACCTTGATGTCGGCTACGGCCTGGACGTAGATCTGCGAGCCTGTCTGCACCCTGCAGGTGTACCTGCCCTCGTCTGTCACCTGCACGTTCTGCACCTTGAGGCGCCAGGCAGTAGGCGACGGTTTCTCCAAACTGTACTTGAAGGGGTCCTCACTATTAAGATCGGTGCTGATGGGGGTGAGGACGCTGTCTCCGACAGCCTGCATGACCCACTTCACCTGGAACACACAACACATTTCTACAAAATAACCAATAACATTGCGCGTGCTTGCCATAATAGACGACTATGCTTGTCATGAAAGGCGACTGACGGGATCGGGTGGTCGGGCTCGCTGACTTAGTTGAAGCAAGTCAGCGATCCCAATTGCGTGGATCGATGCTCATGATATCAATCACTGGATTGTCTGGTCCAGACTCAATTATTTACAGACCGCCGTCATATTGCTGGAATATTGCTGAGCAACAAACAAACCAACAACGGTTCCAAATTCAATTAAGCGCAGTTACATCTGCAGGTAACCTAGCTCTACATTAAAAACACAGCATGTTTATTCCCGAAATCGCACAATGTACATATGAGAACGATGTTTTGTTCAAGTTCTCAGCTGACGTTTCAGACAATGACTGCATCTGTAACATAAAACTCGAAAAAAATATTTTTCTTCCAAAATATTGCATCCCCTAGACAGGAGTGTGCATTATGCTCGGGTGCTGACTATACTCAGTGATAATACAGTGATAACCATGATAACAATAATCATAATGGAAGCAGGAATTGGGACATTTCTAATTCCAAATTGGCAAGTATTACTGACATTTGGGGTCGAACACAGGCCTCTGAGCAAGTCTAGCTAGATCCTGATAGGAGTAAAAAATTAGTGAAAAATTATATATCATATGACATTAAGTTGTTTATCATGTTAAAAGGAGAAACTGGAATACAGTAAACTACGGTTATAACAAACTCAAAGGGACCACCAACTTCAGTTTGTCATAACTGTAGTTCGATATATATTCATATACACAGCGTATACCATATATCGCCATGTATGAGGCTAGTTTTTCGTACCTAGAGTGAGTGAATGAGTATGGTTTTACGCCGATTTTGGCAATATTCCAGCACATTGTACCCATGTCGGGAATCGAACCCGGTTCTTCGGCGTGATGAGCGAACGCTTTAACCACTGGGCTACCTGACCGCACCTTTCGTACCTAGAATTCAGAGGGCTTTCAAGGGGGGTCCTCTTATACACAGGGTTGAAGAGTTTTGATGCTTTTTCCCCAACACAAAGACATTACTGTGAGCACATTATGGTATACAGCAAATGGACGGGATGAAAAAACAGTTCATGATCATGATTATGGCCATCAGTTCGTTTTAAGCGCGTTCGTTGTAAACGTAGTTTACCGTACCTGTCTCGTGGTCTAAGCCTCTAAGGCCAGGCTATTTTTATTTTTAGGATTACAGATTTTTCAGCCTAAAGTCCAGGGTTGGAGGAGGAAAAAAAAGCCAGATGCATTTTTTTTAATGCAGAATGCCTTGGACGTACTTTATGAACATATTCTGTGCTCAAAAGACCGCCATTTGTGACGATAAAGCACCTTGTAACAATACAAATTCTACCACTTACAACACGGACAATTGTCAAGGGAGGCTATTCATGTTCGACTTCGATTATGTATCTCTTTACCAGTTTACAAAGGTAAATTCATATGTTTTTTTATAAAAAGTGATAACAAATAAAATAACTGACTACGTGGCTATCAGCGGGAGAAAAAAATGGAAATCCGATTTTTTTTACATTTTCTCAAAAATTAGAGTCGTCGGGTCTGTAATCCGAAAAACATAAAATGCCTGGTCTAACTAGATTACTCCTACTTACGTCACTGTCGATGGGTTTGTTGGTGACAGCACAGATGAGGAAGGCGTCCTCATCCTTGGGACACTTGATGTATCCGTCCACTGGGTCCACATCCGGCGTGGAGTTGGGGATGGTCACGATGGGGTCATCCCCTAACACTGAGGAACAAAAGAAGATACATGTGTATACATGGTATAAGGGCCGGGACAAGTCCAAACTTTTGGTTTTTTTTGTTTGTTTGTTGTTTAACGCCACTCTCAGCAATATTCCAGCTATATGACAGCGGTCTGTAAATAATCGAGTCTGGACCAGACAATCCAGTGATTGACATCATTAGCATTGATCCATGCTATTGGGATACGATGACATGCATCAACCAAGTCAGCAGGCCTGACCTCCCGATCCCGTTAGTCGCCTCTTGCGAAAAGCAAGGTCGCCTTTTAGAGCAAGCATGGGTTGCTGAAGACCTATTCTACCCCGGATCTTCACAGGTCCCAAACTTACAAACCAGGTACCTACCCCCTATTAGTATTACCCGACCCTACTGGGTTACTGCATCCCTGGCAAAAACAATTAAGATACTGTATCAAACAATCACACCTTGCGTACACTGAAGTTGACTGAAGCTTTATCTTTCCTCAAACATATACAAGTCAAAAGGATTGTTTGCATCGTCATAAAGAAATGCAAACATTAGCGACTTGTAGTGTAACCACTGAGCTACAGTTAGTGTTGGTCATTAAACAATATATCATGTGACCAACCATGGGCGCGGGTAGTACTGTGGGTACCCGGGTCCTACTCAGTACCTACCCGACCCGAGTACCCGAGTACCCGAGTTACCTGTCCCAGTCCTAATAGGTATTAATTTCAATCGTGCCTGCCATTAACAAAGGGGTGTGTGTGTGTTGTTTAACTCTGTTCTCAGAAATATTCCAGCTATATGACAGCGGCCTGTAGTGAGTGTGTATGGTTTTACGCCGCTTTTAGCAATACTCTAGCAATATCACAGCTGGGGACACCAGAAATGGGCTTCACACGGCCTTGACCAGACAATATTGTGATTGACATTGTGAATGTAAGCAACTATCCATGTCATCAGGGTACGATGACATGCATCAACCAAGTCACCGAGACTGGCCACCCAGTGATGACCACCTCTTACAAAAAGAGTAGTCTGCCGGGGGTCTTATCCAACCAGAAACACCACGGGGTCATTAAGAGTGAGTGAGTGAGTGAGTATGGTTTTACGCCGCTTTTAGCAATATTCCAGCAACATCACGGCGGGGGACACCAGAAATGGGCTTCACACATTGTACCCATGTCGTGAATCGAACCCGGGTCTTCAGCGTGACGAGCGAACGCTTTAACCACTAGGCTACCCGACCGCCCCTGGGTCATTAAGAAAGGGCACCCACACAGATATTTAGTGTGCCCTGTGGCATTTAAGGGTGAGCTAGCTGATAATAACCATGTTAAAACGGTTGGAATTAAGAGTTCTGTCAGATTGTGTGTCAGTAGGGTGGCTGGTTTTAAAAGCATTTATATTTATGTCGTATACAGTAGTTATCTTTTTTCAAGGACAGAAAATTCCATTGACATTGATTGTTGACCTGGATAGTTACAGTTTTAGGAGACTATACCAAGCGACACACATTTATATGACACAGCAAAGGCCCATTTTAAGTTCCACATGTAGGTACAATGTACAAAGCCCATTTCTGGTGTCCCCCGTTGTCAAATTGCTAGAATATTATTGTCTTAGCGCTATGACTATTGTAAGCCCATGCTAGTGGATAACAAATAGAAACATCTAACCCCCCAAATGTTTGTCATTCTATCAACCCTTAGGTTGAAACTGCCTCAGGCTAGCGGGATAACCCTGCTTACAGCACACTACACCATTTCATAACTTTACAGGACCCTCATATTTCCTGCCAGGACCCTTGACATTGATATTGGGGCTCTTCTGGACCCTAGTATTGTAGGTCAATAAAAAACCCTGCCTGGATCAATTAGTATCCCTTCATTGCTTCATAAGACATTCTGTTATAAAAGGAAATGACACCATTTATCATGTTTATCTAGTAGATATACCGTATTCGACGTAATAAGCGCCCCGCTCTAATAAGCACCCACAGCAATATTTGCTAATATATTGGCAAGTGAACAATCCCAATTAGCATCCCTTCCGATTGATCAATGTTTGTTCGTGTATAATATGTGTTATATCTGCATCCTTAATAATGGAAAATTAAATTCTGGAAAAATATATCTGTCATATATAAACTTTCTGTAAGCTGTATGCATAAACCACGAAATTTATGATCTTTCAACTCTGTTGTTTTTCACCAAAATAATTTTCTAATAACAGCCACCAAGTTCTAATTTTGACAGCGCCCTGGACGCTTATTATGTCGAATACGGTAGTAATCTTTTTTCAAGGACAGAAACTTCCATTGTCACTTGACACTGATTGTTGACCTGGATAGTTACAGTTTTAGGAGACTATACCAAGAGACACACTTGATCATGACAATACAGTGGTCCCTCGCTACAACGCTACCAATGGGGTCCAAATAATTGGTGGGCGTTATAGACAATGAGCCATTTAACCGAGTCGTAGGGGAGTGCGCTCGGACAATCTCTCGATCTTCGCCTCGTCTCGCACATTGCAATGATATGAGTTGTTTACGGTTCATAGTGTAAAAATAAATACATATCCATTATCCGTTATTATTTGTTATTATTTACAAGCCTTAACTGTCACATTCAATGTGAAAGTAGTCTACTTACATGAAAATATTGATCGATAATGGTAGTGACAGACGCTATGAACAGTAAGCAGGTAAGTATCCAGTTACAACGCGACGTGTCAGCTTCTTGTGGGAGTGATGCAGGTCTTTGATGTTAACACAGAGGTACAGATAAGCAGCGTATTTGCGTAAAATACCCCAAAAAAATATTCAAAACTGAATTACTTCCAATTAACTTGCGCACAGAAATGCATGCATTAAATGAAAAACTCAAATGTATAAAAACAGCACTCGTAAATACACAATAAAGCTTTTTCAGCATGCGTACAAAGGAGCTAATTTCCGAAACACAATTACGGGCTGATTTACTTTTCGAGTCAACTCTATATATTCAGAACAGTTATATACCTGATATCACTTGCATTTGCTTCAAACAAAATGGTGGCGCCCAGTCAAGATGATCTGATCGACAATCAAGATCAATATTGTTATAAAAAGGGTCTTACATAGCAAAGTGGACACCTTGATTAAAAACATGAAAAAAATTGGAAAATATCTGTTGACAACGAGTTGGCAGTGCACATGCTTTGCAAATCCGTTTGACAGTCTACAAACTGGATTTCGATTTTGTTGCGCGATTGTGATTGGACTATGCACAGACTCATTAGTCCTGCCAAAATGTAACTCCATAATACCAGCCTAGTTTGGCAAGGGTGGAAACTGGACTTTTATAGTCAGTTAACTCTCTTACCTCAGGAAGATGTCCTAGCCCTAGTCACAGAAGTTTGTAACCAATAGGTCACAACCATTTAACATGAATTTATGATCAAATAATGTAACAAAATTAAGCCAAATGATCTAAAAATGAATTAAACATTTGCTGGTTTATGTTGTATGAACACTGTGTCGTCTGGGGTATGGAATAAAGGGGTGCAGGCTGGGGGTGTTTGTAAGAGGTGATGTGAGTTTAATTTCATTTATTTTACATTAAAGCATATAATCTTTTCACAATAAGTTAGTTGCGCCTCCCAATCAGAGTCGGCGAGTAGAGGCTAATTTCTAATGTAAACTTGGTTTAACATTTCACAATTATTGGTGTTTGCAAGCGACCATGTAAGTTTAATTTCATTTATTTCACCAAGGTAAAAAAGAAAATAGGGTGCCATTTTCGCCAGGCAATAGTAGCCGTTTTCGCTAATCGGTGCCGTTTTTGCCAGGTGACGTATAAGGCTGGGACGGGTAACTCGGGTCTGGTGGGTCCTGGATACCCACAGGACTACCCGGACCCGTGGTTCGTCACATGATATATTGTTTAATGACAAAAATTATCTAAAACTCTATGGTTACACTATAAGTCACTAATGTTCCCATTTCTTCCTGACAATGCACCCATTCCTTCTGACTTTTATATGTTTGAATAAAGATAAAACGTCATGCAGTAAAGTTCAGTGTATGCATGTTTTACACGTGTATCTGAATACATTTTGCCAGGGCTAAGGTCAAATTTTTCAAATCAGACAGTTTGTGCCTATCTCTAAATATCTACAGCGGGTACCCGGGTAGGGTCGGGTAATAGGGTGGTGGGTACGGGGGGGGGGAGGGGGGGGGGTAGTCCCAGCCCTAGTATGGTATACTTTTGACTGAATTTAACTTGATCTGTGATGATCTGAGATCTAATGACCAGTTGACCAGAGCTCCAGATACGCTTTTGGTGTTGTGGGTATTTTACCCATGCATTTTAAAATCATTGGGTATCAGTAATTCTATCTGGGTATTCAAATTTCTGTTACCCACTAGTTTTCACACATGTGGGTATTTAAATTAAATATTTAAAAACACTATTCATCTAGACCTTGCAAACTGGTGTTGTGTTTGTTATAGAGCTTTATTGGACTCAAAAATACCACGATGCTTCCACAAGAAAGTGTGATGGCAAATGATCATGATGTAACTGTCATCGTGGAGTTTGGCAAGGTTGACGGAATGCCCGTTTATAATTTCAAAATAAGTTGCTGATTTGCTAATCGAATATGCAGGGTCACTTCACAATATTTTGATGATACGCACAAGTTTTATTTTTGTAGCGTATCTGTAATGTTCGTTGCGTATTTGATACGCTTGGATTTTATTTTACTGCGTATTTCTGCATTTCTGATGCGTATTTTACGCAGAAACGCAGCTTATCTGGAGCTCTGAGACTATCAATTTGAATTTTCGTCCTTTTTAATGTCAACCCATTCAGCTCAGACCACTATCTTGACACAAGGCTGTTCAAATACTTGGTACCGAGCAGGTATTGGGCCAGGTATTGTTAGTTCTGGCAATAAATCCATAAACAGTAAGTGTCGCAGCTTGTCAAGCTGATCAAAATGTTAGGGAGACGCTCAAATGACTCCCAAAACCAACAACACAACGACAACTTCAGGAAGTACTCAAAACAGGTAAACATTCGCCGAACAGGTAAAACACTGTCCGATCATTCTTACCTGTGTGTATTAGAGATGTAGAAATAGCAAGAAAGAGCCAAAGCTCCTTTCTCAGATCCATATTGTTTTAGATTATCAACCAAATTGTAACTCCGATAGTTGATAAAAGTCCGACCCTTAAAATTTCACATCCGTTAGCGCATGCGCAGGTGACACATTCTCACCTCTCAGGTATGCCAATTGGACAGGTGAGTCATTGTAGCCGATTCAAAACTTGGAATCGTATGCGGAATGGAATAATATGTTTAATGCAGAACGGTCGCGAGATATTTGTATGAATATATGAAGAATAAAGAATCGAACAACGGGGGAAAGTGCTGAATAGTTTATTTTTAGAAGTCAGGTATTTGTTACACCAAAGACGTATATAGAAAGGATAAGCAGCCTTCTCTTATTGTCTGCTCTGATGTGTATATACGTCCGTGGTTACACATTCATCAGAGACAATATATCGGTTTTTAAATAAATTGACTTAAATAGTTCTTTTTTTCCAGGGTACTCACATCTAACCAGTTATTTGTCGAGGATTCTAGACATAGGGTCCCTGGCGGGCAAATTGGGAGAAAATCGTTAATTTGTTCATTTTTTTCTTAAAAGCGCTCTTATTTTCTACAGGGGTGTTTTGACAGGGCATGTTTAGATTGTATTCAATGAAAAGAGTGAGAGAGTTGGGTTTAACGCCGCATTTAACATTAGTCTACTTATATCACGGCGTCTCAGCTTAATGAGGGAGGAAAGCCCGAAGTGATGCAGGTCTCAGACGTTTACCACTTCGGTGAAACCCAGGAGCACGGATATGGTGCTGACAAACCTAGAAACATAATCAGGGCGAACTGGGATCCGAACCCACAATCATAGGTTCCTGGCGTGCACAAGGGACGCAACTCTGCACAGCGAATCGTGGCACCTTAGACGACTGGGGCACCCGTGCCCCCTAATGAAAAGATGCAAAACTAAGAATTAAAACCTCTTCCCATTTGTTGGTTCTGTTATCAGTGAAATACAGGTTATCTCTACAAAGCCATGTACTGTCTTTTGTCGACAGGATTTTAATAATAAATAACTTGTTCTCATCGTGATATGGCTGCAATATTGCTGATGCGATGTAAGAGTAATAGGCGAATAAATGTATTGTTTAGTCAGGTTCGCTGACTGAGAGCGAAAGAGGGGGTCGTTAAAATCTATCAGCGAGTGAGTTTGGTTTAACGCCGCTTTTAACATTATTCGAGTCACGGCGTGTCAGCTTAATATTGGAGGAAAGCCCCAAGTGATGCAGGTCTCAGACGTTTACCACTTCGGTGAAACCCACGAGCACGGGTATGGTGCTGACAAACCTAGAAACATAATCGGGGCGAACCGGGATTCGAACCCACACAAATCATAGGTTTCTGGGGTGCTCAAGGGAAGCAACTCTGCACAGCGAATCGCGGCGCCCGTGCCCCCAAAATTTATCAGAACTATATGGGGTGTGTGTTCGTGCCGTCCATGTTATGTTCTGTACTTTTCATGCCCAGCTTCTGAATGAGTTCGTGAGTGAGTTTATCCAAAACTGTTGTGAATACAGTTATGCCACAAATATGGCCTCCCTGTAAAAATGACGCCCATCGGAAGGGCGTGATTGTTGAAAAAGTGGTCACACGTATGCTTCATTTATTTTTTTTCTGTCACATCATGATGATTTGTTTGAAAAAAAACCATTCAAAAATGTATCACCGGAAGTCTTATTTACCAGTGCACCGTATGTGGGTTAGTATTGGTCTTCAGCAACCAATGCATGTCGTAAGAGGCGACTAAAGGGATCGGGTGGTCAGGCTCCCAGACTTGGTTGATATATTTTACAGACCGCCGTCATATAGCTGGAATATTGCTGAGTGCGGCGTTAAACAACAAACCAAACCAAAAAAACCATGTCATCTTATCCCAATTGCGTGGGTAGATGTTCATTGTGTCAATAACTTGATTGTCTGTTACAGACGTGATTTTATTTACAAAATATGAGGATAGACGACAAAGCCCAATAAAGTCCTGCAAGTCCAATGTCACCCCCGTCTTTTCTCTGTAGGTCCCTTATCACAATCCTAGTCTCTGTATGTCAAGTATCACACCCCTTGTCTCTGTAGGTCCTGTATCACACCCCTTGTCTCTGCAGGTCCCTTATCACAATCCTAGTCTATGTATGTCAAGTATCACACCCCTTCTCTCTGCAGGCCCTGTATCACACCCCTTGTCTCCGCAGGTCCTGTATCACACCCCTTGTCTCTGCAGGTCCTGTATCACACCCCTTGTCTCTGCAGGTCCTGTATCACACCCCTTGTCTCTGCAGGTCCTGTATCACACCCCTTGTCTCTGTAGGTCCCTTATCACAACCCTAGTCTCTATATGTCAAGTATCACACCCCTTGTCTCTGCAGGTCCTGTATCACACCCCTTGTCTCTGTAGGTCCCTTATCACAACCCTAGTCTCTATATGTCAAGTATCACACCCCTTGTCTCTGCAGGTCCTGTATCACACCCCTTGTCTCTGTAGGTCAAGTATCACAGCCCTTGTCTCTGCAGGTCCTGTATCACACCCCTTGTCTCTGCAGGTCCTGTATCACACCCCTTGTCTCTGTAGGTCAAGTATCACAGCCCTTGTCTCTGCAGGTCCTGTATCACACCCCTTGTCTCTGCAGGTCCTGTATCACACCCCTTGTCTCTGTAGGTCAAGTATCACAGCCCTTGTCTCTGCAGGTCCTGTATCACACCCCTTGTCTCTGTAGGTCAAGTATCACACCCCTTGTCTCTGCAGGTCCTGTATCACACCCCTTGTCTCTGTAGGTCAAGTATCACAGCCCTTGTCTCTGCAGGTCCTGTATCACACCCCTTGTCTCTGCAGGTCCTGTATCACACCCCTTGTCTCTGTAGGTCCCTTATCACAACCCTAGTCTCTGTAGGTCAAGTATCACACCTCTTGTCTCTGTAGGTCAAGTATCACACCCCTTGTCTCTGTAGGTAAAGTATCACACCCCTTGTCTCTGTAGGTCCCTTATCACACCCCTTGTCTCTGTAGGTCAAGTATCACACCCCTTGTCTCTGTAGGTCCCTTATCACAACCCTAGTCTCTATATGTCAAGTATCACACCCCTTGTCTCTGCAGGTCCTGTATCACACCCCTTGTCTCTGTAGGTCCTGTATCACACCCCTTGTCTCTGTAGGTCAAGTATCACACCCCTTGTCTCTGTAGGTCAAGTATCACAGCCCTTGCCTCTGCAGGTCCTGTATCACACCCCTTGTCTCTGTAGGTCAAGTATCACACCCCTTGTCTCTGTAGGTAAAGTATCACACCCCTTGTCTCTGTAGGTCAAGTATCACACCCCTTGTCTCTGTAGGTCCCTTATCACACCCCTTGTCTCTGTAGGTCAAGTATCACACCCCTTGTCTCTGTAGGTCAAGTATCACACCTCTTGTCTCTGTAGGTCCCTTATCACACCCCTTGTCTCTGTAGGTCCCTTATCACAACCCTAGTCTCTATATGTCAAGTATCACACCCCTTGTCTCTGCAGGTCTTGTATGACACGCCTTGTCTCTGTAGGTGAAGTATCACACCCCTTGTCTCTGTAGGTCAAGTATCACACCCCTTGCCTCTGCAGGTCCTGTATCACATCCCTTGTCTTTGCAGGTCCTGTATCACAACCCTTGTCTTTGCAGGTCCTGTATCACACCCCTTGTCTCTGCAGGTCCTGTATCACACCCCTTGTCTCTGTAGGTCCTGTATCACACCCCTTGTGTCTGCAGGTCCTGTATCACACCCCTTGTCTCTGCAGGTCCTGTATCACACCCCTTGTCTCTGCAGGTCCTGTATCACACCCCTTGTCTCTGTAGGTCCCTTATCACAACCCTAGTCTCTGTAGGTCAAGTATCACACCTCTTGTCTCTGTAGGTCAAGTATCACACCCCTTGTCTCTGTAGGTAAAGTATCACACCCCTTGTCTCTGTAGGTCCCTTATCACACCCCTTGTCTCTGTAGGTCAACTATCACACCCCTTGTCTCTGTAGGTCCCTTATCACAACCCTAGTCTCTATATGTCAAGTATCACACCCCTTGTCTCTGCAGGTCCTGTATCACACCCCTTGTCTCTGCAGGTCAAGTATCACAGCCCTTGTCTCTGCAGGTCCTGTATCACACCCCTTGTCTCTGCAGGTCAAGTATCACAGCCCTTGTCTCTGCAGGTCCTGTATCACACCCCTTGTCTCTGCAGGTCCTGTATCACACCCCTTGTCTCTGCAGGTCAAGTATCACAGCCCTTGTCTCTGCAGGTCCTGTATCACACCCCTTGTCTCTGCAGGTCCTGTATCACACCCCTTGTCTCTGTAGGTCAAGTATCACAGCCCTTGTCTCTGCAGGTCCTGTATCACACCCCTTGTCTCTGTAGGTCAAGTATCACACCCCTTGTCTCTGCAGGTCCTGTATCACACCCCTTGTCTCTGTAGGTCAAGTATCACACCCCTTGTCTCTGCAGGTCCTGTATCACACCCCTTGTCTCTGCAGGTCCTGTATCACACCCCTTGTCTCTGTAGGTCCCTTATCACAACCCTAGTCTCTGTAGGTCAAGTATCACACCTCTTGTCTCTGTAGGTCAAGTATCACACCCCTTGTCTCTGTAGGTAAAGTATCACACCCCTTGTCTCTGTAGGTCCCTTATCACACCCCTTGTCTCTGTAGGTCAAGTATCACACCCCTTGTCTCTGCAGGTCCTGTATCACACCCCTTGTCTCTGTAGGTCCTGTATCACACCCCTTGTCTATGCAGGTCCTGTATCACACCCCTTGTCTCTGCAGGTCCAGCATCAAACCCCTTGTCTCTGTAGGTCAAGTATCACACCCCTTGTCTCTGCAGGTCCTGTATCACACCCCTTGTCTCTGTAGGTCAAGTATCACACCCCTTGTCTCTGTAGGTCAAGTATCACAGCCCTTGCCTCTGCAGGTCCTGTATCACACCCCTTGTCTCTGTAGGTCAAGTATCACACCCCTTGTCCCTGTAGGTAAAGTATCACACCCCTTGTCTCTGTAGGTCAAGTATCACACCCCTTGTCTCTGTAGGTCCCTTATCACACCCCTTGTCTCTGTAGGTCAAGTATCACACCCCTTGTCTCTGTAGGTCAAGTATCACACCTCTTGTCTCTGTAGGTCCTTTATCACACCCCTTGTCTCTGTAGGTCCCTTATCACAACCCTAGTCTCTATATGTCAAGTATCACACCCCTTGTCTCTGCAGGTCTTGTATGACACCCCTTGTCTCTGTAGGTGAAGTATCACACCCCTTGTCTCTGTAGGTCAAGTATCACACCCCTTGCCTCTGCAGGTCCTGTATCACATCCCTTGTCTTTGCAGGTCCTGTATCACAACCCTTGTCTTTGCAGGTCCTGTATCACACCCCTTGTCCCTGCAGGTCCTGTATCACACCCCTTGTCTCTGTAGGTCCTGTATCACACCCCTTGTGTCTGCAGGTCCTGTATCACACCCCTTGTCTCTGCAGGTCCTGTATCACACCCCTTGTCTCTGTAGGTCAAGTATCACACCCCTTGTCTATGTAGGTCCCTTATCACACCCCTTGTTTCTGTAGGTCAAGTATCACATCCCTTGTCTCTGTAGGTCAACTATCACACCCCTTGTCTTCTAGGTAATGTATCACACCCCTTGTCTCTGCAGGTCCTGTATCACACCCCTTGTCTCTGTTTGTTTGTTTGTTTGTTGTTTAACGCTGCACTCCGCATTATTCCATCTATATGACCGCAGTCTGTAAGATAATCAAGTCTGGACCAGACAATTGTGATTGTCATCAGGAGCATCGATCAAGCAATTGGGATCGATGACATGTATCAACCAAGTCAGCAAGCCTGACCACCCAACCCCTAAGTCGCCTTTCACGGCAAGTATGGGTTGCTGCCTTGTCCTGTATCACACCCCTTGTCTTCTAGATAATGTATCACGCCCCTTGTCTCTGTAGGTCTACTATATCAGCACCCATGCTTGTCATAACACTTTGATAAGATAATAGTGAATGAGAGTGAGTGAGTTGGGTTTAATACCACTTTGAACAGTATTTCAGTTACATCATGGCGTGGAACCTACAAGCATGGTTTCAGAGATGAAAAACCTAGAACATACAGGGCAAACCTTTTTGAATCAATGAGCATAGGTTTCTGGTACGCCTAAGGGAGATAACACTGCAGTATAAACTGCAGCACCTGAAATGACTGGGCCACCTGTGACCTTGATAACGTAATACATATTCTACTCAAAAGAAGATAAGGACCACCCAATTCTTTTGTATTACTATATTAATCTGTCATAACACGAAAGATCAACTACAGCAATATGAACGAACTGGGTGTTCTTTCACTTCTTTTGTGTAGTATATATTAATATTAGGTGAGGCAAAATGGGGTTTAACGTCGCGTCCAAGATTATTGCACTTATATAGCGACGTGCATGATACTAGTCCCGACTGATGCCGATTTATAGTGCTAGCTCACTGAGATACCATGCCGCAGTTTAACATGAATACCCCACTCAGACACAGTATACTGACTCCGAGCCAACCAGTCCTTGTTTTAGCCCCTTAATGCCGAGCGCCAGACAGGGTAACAAAAGGTACCATCTTTTAACGTCTTTTGGTATGACAAGGTCGGGGATCGAACCCCGGACCTTCTGCTCTCCGGGCGGATGCTCTACCACTAGACCACGGAGGCAGTCATCTATTAATATTAAACATTCCCACAACAAGGTGCCTATGAAGGTTCTCTGCAGGAGCACACAATGAAATACCAGGTGTATCTGAAAAACTTTTATTTTGTATAAAATGCTTGTACAATACAAAATACATCAGTTGTAATAATCAAGGAATCAATTTATTTACAGTTTCAAAATATAAACCAATATCATACACAAAAAATCACCTGTATAATTTCCTGCTTGAATGTTATGGAATGTTATTTTGTAATTTCTATCAAATCTGGCATAAAATGACATTATTCAACTGATTTCACATTTAGCAAGCAAAGTCTAAAAGGAGTAGCACTCAAAGACTGACGATGTTTGGGCAAAAATAAGGCAACTACAAAGTCTAATCAGAGCTTGTATATACAGTTAATTATGACCTACCGTATTTGACGTAATAAGCGCCCAGGGCGCTCTTGATAGAATTTAATTTTGGTGAGAAAAAAAAGCAGAGTTGAAAGATCGTAAATTTCGTGGTTTATGCTGACAGCCTGAAATAATACAAAAAAGTATGTGCATATAATACACGACAGGTTTATTTTCCAGAATTTAATTGCCCATAAACAAGGATGCATATAACACAAGAGTGCGTATTATACACAAATAAGTAAGTCCTGTATACATTGATCAATCGGAAGGGGTGCTAATTGGGATTGTTCACTAGCCAGTATATTAGCAAATATCGCCGTGGGCGCTTATTAGAGCAGGGCGCTTATTACGTCGAATACGGTATAATATATTTACAATTCTGATCTGTCAACCCTGGCTTCCCAAATATATTCTGTCAAGATCTGTTCCGCAAATTTTAAGCCCATAGCTGCCAACTTTTCCACATCACCATCAGTATTTTGTTACGATCGTCTGGTCGGGAAACCAAAACCTGACGATACGTTACCTTACTTGTTTACTGTTTTGACTGCAGCCGCTTCCGATAATGTGAGCTGAGTGTCTCGATTGGACAGATACTATAAATAGACTTCTTACCCATCGCTACACAAGAGGTGCTTGGGTTCGTACCAGATTGTGTACAGCTAAAAGATTCCCTTTACCAGAGTCTACAAAAATTTAGTCCTTGTGATGTTTTCTCTCATAGATTGATATGAACTAATGAAGAAAACCTATTTTCACATTTTATTTGCAAAAATCATAACAGAAATACGAAAGATTCTGTTAAGTTCACAGCTGTACAACCCTGCATGGAATTTTCTGAATTTAGTTCAGAATTTCTGTACATAGGAAGAAAAGGCAACTTGTGAATTTCAATCTGCTTCTCAAAACAAGTTAAGGACAAATTGATTATTTATTATACTGTAACGGAATGACAGACTAACTTTGGTAATATGAAAGAATAGGGTGGTCCTTAACTTCTTTTGAATAGTATAATTGGGGAGGTGAAACTTTATTTACCATAATGATTTCAATCAACCAATATTTCCCCCAAACAAATTCTTCATCGTCAAGGCAATTACCGCAACTGAGAGACACAGTGCGTGAGTGAGTGAGTTGGGTTTAACGCCGCTTTTAGCAATATTCCAGCAATATCACGGTGGGGGACACCAGAAATGGGCTTCACACATTGTACCCATGTCGGGAATCGAACCCAGGTCTTCAGCGTGACGAGCGAACGCTTTAACCACTAGGCTACCCGACCGCCCCCTGAGAGACACAAATAAGTTTGTTAGAAATGATTATCAAATGTCTTGTTCATATTTACATTAATTAAAAACACCATCAGAAGCCCTGGGTATGCCTCACCAGTTAACTCACTGGCCAAGTTAACTCACTGCTTGAGTTGGGTTTAATGCCACTTTTAACAGTATTCCAGTTATATCGTGGCGTGTCAGCTTAATGTGGGAGGAAAGCCCCAAGTGATGCAGGTCTCAGACGTTTACCACTTCGGTGAAACCCACCAGCACGGGTATGGTGCTGACAAACCTTGAAACATAATCGGGGCGAATCTAAATTCAAACCCACAATCATAGGTTTCTGGCGTGCCCAAGGGACGCAACTCTGCACAGGGAATCGCGGCGCCTTAGACGACTGGGCCACCCGTGCCCTCCAATGGCCAATGAATGTAAATACACATGTAACATGACACTACAAGACCAGGTGAAATTATACTACACAAAGAAGTGAAAGAACATCCGATTCTGTCACATTACTACAGTCATTCCGTCATGCCATGACAGATTAACTACACCAATGTGACAGAATTGGTGTTCTGTAATTCTTGAGTAGAATATATCTGTTTCAGCATGATGAACTGAGGAAACGTTCTTCTTTTGTTTCCCATTTTCTTGAATTCAGAGTCTTTTAACATTGTATTCAATAATCTAAAACTAGGCATTAAATAGAACTAACTTATTGTTACCCATATCAAAAGACGTCTTTTTTTTTAAATTTGCTCTTATGTAGCCAAGCTTATGACTGGAAAAGATTTAAAAACATTCTCGTCAACAACATTATTTTTTGTTACACAAAAATTGTTTCATGACATTATGAATGTAAAAAGAATAAAATTTAACACGATAAAATTATTGCATCGTGAACTATTTGCTATCTTACAGCCGGGGTAGACACAAATTAAAAACATTTCAGAAGCAATACAGTAACTACGGTTGTAACGAACACGTTTATAACGAACTGACAGATATAACGAACTATTTTTTAGGTCCTATCTACTTGCTGCATATATTCCCTACATTTGCTTATAACGAACTACGGCTATAACGAATAGAAATCAGTGGTCCCTTTGAGTTCGTTATAACCGTAGTTTACTGTACTTTAATCTGAAGCTGCCTGTACATTTCTGTAATTTGACCTGTGGGTATATTGAAACATTTCTTTTATGTAGCAACCGTAGCCAATCAAAACAGATTAAGTAGCCAATGATAAAACGGAAAACGGGCTATATTTTAGTTCAATGCAAAATTGTTTCTAAATGGCTAATATGAATCTGGGTCCACTTGCACAAAGCTATGTTAACGGTAGGACAATCTGCACTCCATCATCTTACGATAGTCGAAGCGCTTAGATCATTTTGTGATGGTGGGCCCAGGATGAAATAAGGCATACCGCATTCGACGCAATAAGCGCCGAGGGCGCTCTCAAAATTAGAAATAGGGGGCTCTTATTAGAATATAATTTTGGTGAAAGGGTTGATGGATCGTAAATTTAGTGGTTTATGCTGACAGCCAGAAATGATACAAAAGAAAAGGCCATGCGTATTAAAAAACAACAGATATATTTTTCAAGAGTTTAATTGCCCGTAATTAAGGGTGCATATAACACACGAGTGCGTATTATACACGAATAAATAACTCTTGTGTACATGGATCAATCGGAAGGGTGATAATTGGGATTGTTCACTGGCCAATATATCAGCAAATATTGCCGTGGGCGCTTATTACGTTGAATACGGTATTTGCCGTTTACAAAGTGATTTCCCGATGGGCAACTAAATATGCTTAATGTGAAAGATTGTATGGTATATTACTATGATTATGTTATTTCACCATCATGATACTGGAGAGGATGATAAGGATGAACGAGGTCTGAAAGGACATTTTGGCCGACTGGAAATTTTGTTCAGCCCGTAATTGTACATGTTGTAGTTCCGAATTTACTCTGTGTTAGCCTTATCAAGGTTGCATTATCAAAAAACACATTCCAGCTGTCACATTCCCGATCTGGTTAGCGATGCTCTGAATGGTCGGATGAAAGGTCGTTTTGACGTGACCGGTAATGGGATGTCTTCAGATCTTTGTTTAGCGGTAGCGAGAACTAAGATCGGATTCTAACGAGATTGTAAAACCACTGAACCAGTTCATATGATGGACAACTAGCATTTTTGTTTCACATACATTCAAAAATTATTTCATCTTTGAAAGTTGTCAAATTTCGTGTGCCAATAATGGCCCTGGTCGTCCTCGTCCATTGCAAGCAAAGATAATGGAAACGTAATCGTCACCATGGTAACACTTGATATGAATGAGTGACATGACAGTTTTTACAAATGAGGTCATGTGAATGAGGATAATGATTGGCAGATATCAAGGACAATTTCATAATTAGGTCGTAACGATTCGACTTTTATATGTCTCTTTGGACAAATATCACTTTGTGATTGGGGCGTTGATGAACTCTCACCTATGATAGGACTTGTTTATATTGGATAGTTTGGTGTCTTTCAATTGTATTTCCGTAAACCATATAACTGAAAGTAGTCAAAACTGGAATGTTGTCAAATTGATGTTAAAACACGTAAAAGAAAATTCTGTCAGTGACAGAACTTTCTGCTCATTATCTGCGGTCCGATGCAATGACGACATATTGGATGAGGGCAGTGACTGCCATGGCAAGAAGGGAGACCTTGACCTCGGTGGCCTTGGAGCTCGGAAGAGATGGACAGTTGGGACCTTGACACTCAGTAGTTTCTGAAAAGAAAAAGAATTTTTTTTTTTTTTTTATCAACTCACATTTTTTCAGTATATATACAGTAGTTTCTGAAAAGAAAAAGAATTTTTTTTTTTTTTGATCAACTCACATTTTCAGTAATTATATATATATCACATGATATTAGTATCCATATTCACACAACGAACCGGTACGTGAAGATCCGGGGTAGAATAGGTCTTCAGCAACCCATGCTTGCCGTAAAAGGCGACAATGCTTGTTGTAAGAGGCAACTAACGGGATCGGGTGGTCAGGCTTGCTGACTTGGTTGATGCATGTCATCGATCCCAATTGTGTAGATCGATGCTCATGATATCAATCACTGGATTGTCTGGTCCAGACTCGATTACTTACAGACCGACATCATATAGCTGGAATACTGCTGAGTGCGGCGCTAAACAACAAACAACCAAACAACACAACAGCTGTACAGTGAGTTAAAATTTAACGTTGCATTGGCCTCATTCAGCTTTATAGCTACGAGAAGTGGGTATATATCAACTTGTTCTTATCGCTATATGGCTGAAATAATGCTGATTCGACGTTTAATTTCCGTACAGCTGTAATAGCTGTAATATTGCTGTAATAGGTGTAATATTGCTGTAATATTGCTGTAATATTGCTGTAACAGCTGTAATATTGCTGTAATAGCTGTAATATTGCTGTAATAGCTGTAATATTGCTGTAATATTGCTGGCTAAAACAAGAAGTAGAGTCATCTGTTCAAGGTGAGGTGAGGTGAAATGGGGTTTAACGTCGCGTTCAAGATTATTGCACTTATATAGCGACGTGCATGTACGTATGTGTGTGTGTGTGTGTGGCTGCTTGTACTAGTCCGGACTGATGCCGATTTATAGTGCTAGCACACTGAGATACCATGCCGCAGTTTAACATGACTACCCCACTCAGACACAGTATACTGACTCCGGGCCGACCAGTCCTTGTTTTAGCCCCTTAATGCCGAGCGCCAGACAGGGTAACAACAAGTACCATCTTTTAACGTCTTTTGGTATGACGCGGCCGGGGATCGAACCCCGGGCCTTCCGCTCTCCGGGGGGACGCTCTACCACTAGACCACGGAGGTGGTCTCATCTGTTCAAGAGTTACACAGATGCTTGAACAACTGTTTCCAATGAGTGAGTGAGTGAGTGAGTGAGTGAGTGAGTGAGTGAGTGAGTGAGTGAGTGAGTGAGTGAGTGAGTGAGTGAGTTTGGTTTTACATCGCTTTTAGCAATATTCGAGCAATATCACAGCAGGGGACACCAGAAATGAGCTTCACACATTGTTCCCATGTCGGGAATTGGACCCGGGCTTTGGCGTGACGAGCAAACGCTTTAACCACTAGGCTACACACACACACATCCTCCCCCCTCACCCCCAAATGATGAAATCAAACTATTAAAAGGGTTCACACTCAAAAAGTTTTATCTGAACATCAATATTTAACCTGTGCGTACATACAGTTGATGGACAGTGTAGCAGTGATGTGTATAGGGCTGGGACAGGTCCAAATTTATTACCTGGGTACCCGACCCCCTATTACCTGGCCCAACCCGGGTACCCTCTGTAGGTCTCAAAAGGTAGGAACAAACTGTCCGATTGGGGAAAGTTTGACCGTAGCTCTGGTACACGTATAAAACAATCTGGTGTATACTCTGAAGTTGACTGAAGTTTTATTTTTATTCAAACATATAAAAGTCAGAAGGAATGGGCGTAGTAGTCAGGAAGAACTTCTAACATTAGTGACTTGTAGTTTAAACATAGTTTTAGATACTTTTTGTCATTAAACAATATATCACGTGACTAACCATGGGTCTGGGTAGTCCTGTGGGTACCCGGGTCCTACCCAGTACCCGCCCGACCCGAGTACCCGAGTTACCCGTCCAAGCCCTAGATGTGTCCCCCAGATTTATTTTTGATTCCAAACAAGTTCCCTTGGCAGGTAATTTGAGAAAAACATCTATGTTATTTTAAAAATTTGAATTCCTTTAAAGTTCTTATTCTTTAACTTCAGAAGCATTTCAACATCTCTCCATACCCTCACAACACTGTGTTCTTAAGGCAAGGGAATCTCAAATGTCCGGTTTAAAGTATTGCTTACCGGACATTTAAATTTTTCTGTCCAGACATTTATCGACATGATCAACAGTTAGGACTGAGCAGTTTCTGTCTGCAGTTGTAACACAATGAAGATTATCTACACTGACAAGCTTTGTTTGTTTTGATTGCTGTAAATACATCGTACCTACATGATAGTCCAATCGGTCAATCACTGTAATAGGCAATAAACTGAGTTGACACTGATTAATCGAGGATTAATTCCTGAGAACATCTTGTTAATTTGAGTGAAATGTGTTTATAACTGTACATAAATACCTTGCATCATCGATGTACCTCATTATCCTCACAATGCTACGATACGTAACCTCAGACAAGAAGCGAAAGCGTGACGACAGCCAGTCGACCGATGCAGATCAGTCGAGCGGATCTGCCAAACCCTCAAAGTCTGGACGATCATTTTGTAAGTCGTGGCTAACGACTTTAACTTGGTTGACATACAATGAGGAATTGCAGATTTTATTGTTTTCAGTAGCTAGTCGTATATTGAATCTTGATTGACCGCCATTTTGCTTTCTGTGACGATCGAGATCAATTTTTTTTATGGTCAATAATTAAGTACAGATGAAAAAAGTATTCAAATAACTATTGCTATCAACGATATTTTAGTATTTGTTATTATATTATTTGTCTTGTTTTTAAATAATCTTTTATAGTTTTAAAAAACCCTTTTCCCGTGAGGTCACGTGATAACCAAATATGGGATAATAGTCTCGATCCAAATGTTACAACGTGTACATTTGAGCAGACTCATGAATATAACTCATGAATATTAATTAGACCGTTCACTACGTTAACAGATCGTTATTATAACAGTTCTAAACAAACGTATGTTTTCAATGTATATCTAAAATGATATTATTTGTTATTAATTGTCCGGTGAATTAAACAATTTAAATTAAAACAATTCATAATTGATTATATTATGAATACGTAACAACTTGTAATGTGTTTGAAAAGTCGTACTAAAGTACGCTATTTGAAGGGGGCGTGGCCTAAATGCAAATGTCCGATTGGGATTTTAAATTTTGTGGACCCCTGGACATAACTCATAATAGCCACTGGTGGCGCTACGATCGAGCCCAGATATTCCAGGCTAATTCATCAAGGGTGGAAACTGGACGTTTACAGTCAGTTAACTCCCTTGCCTTGGGAAGATGTTCTTTCATAGTTTGGGATCAATTCTAACCCAAAATTCTCACAGGGGATTGCAGCCAAAACGTACCGAACATGGTGATGGTGGCTTGATTGGCCCCCTTGGTGTTGGTGGCGATGCAGAAGTAGTCGGTGTAGTCGTTGGCCTGTACGTTCTTCACCTTCAGCGTGTACCACTGCTCCCCCGCCTTGAGGTTCTGGTTGTCGGTCGTCTGTTTGTTGAAGTCAAACTTGTCGTCGTCGTTGATCGGTGATCGACCACCGCTGACAATCCGCTCCCATCTTACTGTTGGCACAGGGTAGCCTACGAAGAGAAGTTTCAGCACTTTGCAAACCCGTTTCTCTTTTTTTAAACAGATGCTTTAAGACATAAACTATTCTGATACTTTCCAGGCATTTATATAGGACTCATAACAAAGTGCAATTGGGGATCGAACCCCGGACCTTCCGCTCTCCGAGGGGACACTCTAGACCACGGAGGCGGTCTGCAATTAAACTGAAAGATGTCTTTGAACAAAAAGATCCCCTACCTTGAGTGATACACTCCAGCTTGGCGTAGAACCTCCTGTTCTGGGCCTGGCCGACAGAGTCCTGCACCACCCGCACTGTTGGGGCGTTGAACACCAACACCTCCGCCAGATGCTGCGCTGGAGGCTTGATGTTGTTGTCGGCGACGCAGCGGTACACGCCTCCCATCTTTACTGTGGTGTTCAATAGTGGCAGCACTGCCCCCTGTGTGAACAAGTCATGATTACAGCCTTTGACATTCATGCTGGTCCGCTAGACCGAGGCTACCAAATTGTGCTGTGGACAAGTAAAAATCCAATGATGGTTGTCCTCACTGACGAGTAGCATTTGATTTGTTTTTTGTTGAACGCCACACTCGGGAGTATTCAAACTTTATGACGGTGGTCTGTAAATAATCGAGTCTGGACCAGACAATCCAGTGATTGACATCATGAACATCGATCCACGCAATAGGGATACAATGACATGCATCAACCGAGTCAGCGAGCCTGACCACCCGATCCCGTTAATCGTTACTTACGACAAGCACAGTCACCTTTTACGGCAAGAATGGGTAGTTGAAGACCTATTCTACCCTGGAAAGTCACGGGTCAGTAGCATTTGAGGGCAATGATTCTGAACCTGTTTTTGTTACAAATTGGAAATGAAAAAAACTGTTTTACATATTTTGTGAAAACTGACTACATGTTACACGTGAAACCATACATCACAAAGCCAGCCATCCCACTAATACAACAGGCAACAGTGTCATGTAGGTAATATCATAACAAAGAATTAGTGGTAACCCACATGTTAGTATTACGAGTGCAAGTATTCAGAAGTCATGATCATGGATGATTATCGCCTGTCTTAGTCTTCATTCCATGACAAATTCAGCAATATTCCAGCTTTATGACGGTGGTCTGTAAATAATCGAGTCTGGACCAGACAATTCAGTGATTGACATCATGAACATCGATCCACGCAATTGGGATATGATGGCATGCATCAACCAAGTCAGCGAGCCAGACCATTAGTCACCTCTTACGAAAAGCATAGTCGCCTTTTAGGGCAAGAATGGGTAGCTGAAGACCTAGTCTACCCCGGTAATTCACGGGTCAGTAACATTTGAGGGCAACAGTTTCATGTAAGTAATGGGATCGTGTGGAAAGATATCGTTAGCTTACGTCAGATTGCATTTGTAGTAATTCATGCTTATCCAAAGCAACACTAAATGGCTTGCTATATAACATGTACAATTTGTTTCAACAATATCCCCTATAATCTTAAAGAATGTGAAACACTATAAAACATTCGACATGTCCTTTACATATGAGAAATGTGTGTGTGGCTGCTTATACAAGTCCAGACTTATACTGGTTTTATAATGCTACCCGACTGAGACACAGTTTAACATGTATACGCCACTCAGAGTACATGGCTTCTAGCTGCCCAGTCCTTGTTTTAGCCCCTTAATGCTGAGCACCAGGCAGGGTAACAACAAGTACCATCTTTAACGTCTTTTGGTATGACGCGTCTGGGATCAAACCACCGACCTTCCGTTCTCCAGAAGATGCTCTATCCACTACACCACGGAGGCGCTCAGGTCTACATTGAGGTTATAGGGTCACAGTACTCTTTATGATCAATAAAGAACAGAAACTTTTGTTTGTTTGTTGTTTAACGTGGTACTCAGCAATATTCCAGCTATATGACAGCGGTCTGTAAGTAATTGAGTCTGGACCACACAATCCAGTGATCGATATCATGAGCATCTATCCACGCAATTGGGATACAATGACATGCATCAACCGAGTCAGCGAGCCTGACCACCCGAACCCGTTAGTCGCCTCTTACGACTAACATGGTCGCCTTTTAGGGCCATGTTTCAGCATGGGTTGCTGAAGACCTATTCTACTCCGAATCTTCACGGGTCAGAACAGAAACTGAAAATCAGAAAACCATCACCGCATCAGCAGGACATCACAGGTCTTCATTGCAACTCAATTTATTCCATGAACAAAGGTCGCAGACGATGAAGAAGTGGACTAACCCTGAACTGAGCGCCACCTGTTGGCAGCTTGCCTCCGTCGGACCGTGTCCAGGTGATGTTTGGAGCCGGGATACCAGTGGCGGCACACGTCAGGTTAGAGTTGGATAACTGGTCCACAACTAGAACTGTCGTCGTCTCACCTGGCCGGATTGAGGGTGCAACTGAAATGCAAAATAAGCATGAAACAGTCATACATGCGTGGACTAACTTACATTAGCTATCGAAATCGTGTAGTCCATGTTCACCTCACGCTATTAAAACCGCCATGTTATTTGCTGATCGTAGGGATATTTTTTCAACCCACATACGCTGATCCCAAAGGGAACTGGTCAAAATGGCCACAGACACCCTTGTCAAAATGGCCACACCAAAATGTCAAAATCATCACATCAAAAAGTTAAAATGACCACACTGAAAAGTCAAAAGACCACATGAAAACGGACGTTTCGAGGAGGGCGCCATACTGTTTTCCAAAAACCGTGCCGGTTTTCGTTTTGCAGACATTCGCAGACTTTTCTTACGGTACGTTCTGTAGCCTCCAGTTAATGACATAGAAAAAAACAGAGCTCCAGATAAGCTGCGTATCTGCGTAAAATACCCATCAGAAATGCAGAAATATGCAGCAAAATAAAATCCAAGCGTATCAAATACGCAACGAACATTACAGATAAGCTACAAAAATAAAACTTTTGCGTATCATCAAAATATTGTGAAGTAACCCTGCGTATTCGTTTGCAAATCAGCAACTTATTTTGAAATTATAAACGGGCATTCTGCCAAACTCCACCATGACAGTTACATCACGATCATTTGCCATCACACTTTCTTGTGGAAGTATCGTGGTATTTTTGAGTCCTATAAAGCTCTCGAACCCACACGACACCAGTTTGCAGGGACTAGATGAATAGTGTTTTTTAATATTTAACTTAAATACCCACATGTGTAAAAACTAGTGGGTTACAGAAATTTGAATACCCAGATAGAATTACTGATACCCAATGATTTAAAAATGCATGGGTAAAATACCCACAACACCAAAAGCTTATCTGGAGCTCTGGTCATATCCCCCACCAAGGCACGAAATATTGTACGGTTTTCAAGATCTGCTCAGAAATGACCTTCACCGCCATTTTCAGTCTAAGTCAGTGAAATGAAAACTCAAATAGATTTTCAAAAATCTCAAACTACCAAAAGGCACCAGTTCACCACTAGACCTATCTATGTGCTAAGTTTGGTGAAGACATATCTCATGGTTTTTGAGTTCTGCTTCGGAAATGAAAAGGGACGGACGGAAGGGCGGACAGCACGCATTTCTCTATCCACTTCCAACAAAGTATCATCCTAAACAAGAGTGCTCTGAGAGCACAACATCCCCCACATGAATTCTTTTAACGAGTTTATAGTTTCTTTGTATTTTTCATGAAGCTCCGTAAAACAGGGGCAGTAACTCTGTCAAAATTTGTCGAAATGAAACGGGACTGTGTTATGCGTATCATAAACAGGTCGACATCTTGAGTGTAGAGTTTCAGGGATATTCTCTGGAAACTGTAGGAGGAGTTGATTTCACAAGCTTAGTACCCTCTGTGGGACGGACAGACGGATGGACGGACGGACGGACTGCGCCACGACATAATCCCCCTTCCACTTCAGCCATTCTGGCCCGGCGGGCGATAAAAACAACACAGTCCAGCAGCTAGTCATCTTAGCAGGCTTATAGAGTTGCCCGGTATTACCATGTTTACTATGATTACCTGTTTACCATGATTACCTGTTTACCATGATTACCTGTTTACCATGATTTGGAATACCAACGAATACGAATCACAACACGTTTGGAAAATACTTGTATGTTGCAATTGTAAAATTCATGCATATTTTCATCTTGTTGGTAGAGGTAACATTAAAGCGGCAAGCTGAACTGAAACTTTTGAAATTCAGAAATTTGCAACTGATTCAGTATAATGTATATAATATGTCTATTACTGTATATCCGTGTATGAGATGAGTTTTTCGTACCAAAAATTAGGGGGCACAGGGTTGAAGAGTTTTGGTGTTTTTTTCCAAAACCAACGACAAGACATTACCACGAGCACGTAACAACGGAAGGCTTTCCCGGGGGGAGAAGAGAAGAAGCGTCAAACTGTGTGTTTCTTTTGGCATGTTTGGTGGTGAGTATATATTTTGGTACATATTGCAATACAAGAATATCCATATCCAATAGAAATGTCTGCATGAAGCAGAGTGGATGGAATTCCGACTGTATCATAAGCAGGTGTTAATGAATTACAATCAAACAGTAATGATACCAGGTGTTCACAAAAAGGTGAACGTATCCTGCCCTACCGGTGGCACCCATCACAAACACGTGATGTCCCACAATGCAGCACTACGACCATTAATTCACTGACCTCCGTCTCTGGCTATCAGTCTAACACTTGCAAGTCAATTGAAGAGAAACGGGTACACATGGTACAAGTCAAAATAGAGAATTGCATTGGACATCATTTTTGTCAGTGATGCGTCAAATTTGGAAATGTCCTTCACATGTCTACCATAACAGTTTTTGCAAGGGGACACCAGAAATGGGCTTCACACAATGGACCCATGTCGGGAATCGAACCCGGGTCTTCGGCGTGATAAACGAACGCTTGAACCACTGGGCTACCCGACCGCCCCTGCACAACCTACTAAATATTCAGCAGGAAACTGACATGCACAGAAAACGTTCAAGTTACTTATATCTGCGCCTTACCCTGTACAGTGAGGGAGCCGATCTTGCTTGGCCACTTGGTGAAGTCGAGAGCCTGAATCTTCACGTAGCATCTGTATTTGCCCGCATCCTGCTGCCGCAGCCGCCTGATTATCAACATGTACGTGACGCGGTTTTCGGGGCCTCGCTTCTCGACCTCGTACTTCCGCTTGCCCCCCTCGATGGGGTTGTAGGACAAGTCGATGCTCTCGTCTAAACTGATGATCTGGTTGGTGTCCATGTGCTCCCAGGTCACCTGGACGAGATCAAAGTGAGGAAGTGATTTTCATGGAGGAGATAAATGTTACCGTATTCAAGGTAATAAGCACCCAGGGCGCTCTCAAAATTAGAAATAGGGGGGCGCTTATTAGAATATTATTTTGAGTTGAAAGATCGTAAATTTCGTGGTTTATGCTAACAGCCTGAATGTTTACAATACAGATATATTTTTCAAGAATTTAATTGCCCATAATTAAGGGTGATGTAACACACGAGTGCGTATTATACACGATTAAATAATGTCTTGTGTACATTGATCAATCGGAAGGGGTGCTGATTGGGATTGTTCACTAGCCAATATATTAGCAAATATCGCCGTGGGCGCTTCTAAGAGCGGGGTGCTTATTACGTAGAATACGGTATGTGTTATCAGATTTGTGGTTTTATTGACTATTCAAAGCTCGGAAATTTCATTTGCAGATAAACATAGCAGTACCATTTTATTGTTGTGGATATTCTCTGGAATTCATCCAGGATTCCAAAATAGGTGACTTTGGCATCCAAATTGGGAAAAGTTATTTTGTCCTTATTGGATTTTTTTGTAACTTATACAAGTTCCTATTTACCTAAATTCGGAGGTTTTAACATTGCATTCGATGCAATAATGTTAAAATAATCATAGAAGTCTCCTCCTTTTTGGTCCTGTTATAATTTAAATACAAGTCACCCGATAAAGACATAACATTAGTTAAAATGATAACAGCATAAATTGGGAAAGTTCTAATTCCAGGTTTGGAATTTGTACTAATATTTGATGCAGGCTTGGTTCAAACATTGGCCTTTGAGTAGGTCTAGACAAACCCTGTATTCAATATACATCCTGTCGTTTCAGAAAGCACATCTACACCATGTACACCCAAACAAGTTCCAAAAGAATTCAAACGAAGGAATATATATATGTGTTCTGTGTGGAGATAATCATGATAATGCAGAGAGGTTTTGTATAAGAGTACAAGATTGGACTTTCATGAGATAATGTGACAGGTAGCATAGTCGCCTTTTACATGCACAGCAAGCATGGGTAGCTGAAGACCTATTCTACCCCTAATTGCACATTTAAAGAACCCATGCATGTTTCATTTAGGCCATGTAGACTGACGGTCAAAGTTATCTCAGGGTTCAACATAACATTCTATGGACAAAAATGGAAAAAAATGCTGTCAAAAACACAACATTTTTCTCATTTTTTCCACATTTTTCTCCGAATTTGACCGTTTATTATTTTTCTTATGACATTTTTTTCATGTCATACGATAACTTGTATGATTATCAATGACTCTACGTAATTTTGTTTTATTATTTTCACAAATAACGCTTGTAGACATTTATGTGCAACATGCAGAATTCCATGGTCCACTGACAGACTGTCACGCATACGAGTGACCTCCTCTCAAGTGGTCACTTGTACGCGAGACGGGAGAGCCGTCTCGCGTACACGTTACGTCCTCTACTGATGGAGCTGTCGTCAGATCTTCATGCAGAGAGGGATTGTATCAGAGTGAGTACAAGAGTGGACTTTCATGAGATTGGGATAACGTGACAGGTAGGTAGTTTGATTCTTTTAAATCCAGACCAGTTTACAAACATAAACATGATAAAGTGAGGTGGGGGTCATGTTGAATATATGCACTCACATAACGACGTGCATTCATGTGTCTGTGGTTGCTTGTACTGATCAGACTAATGCCAATTTTACAATGAGTGAGTATGGTTTTACGCCGCCTTTAGCAATATTCCAGCAACATCACAGCGGAGAACACCAGAAATGTGTTTCACACATTGTACCCATGTGGGGGATCGAACCCGGGTCTTCAGCGTAACGAGCGAACGCTTTAACCACGAGGCTACCCACCGCCCCTGATTTTATAGTGCTAGCTTACTGAGATACCATGCTGCAGTTTAACATGAATACCCCACTCAGACACAGAAATCAGATATCCGACATCATATTTATCATGATGATATCCAGGTGCATGTAAACAAAACAATTCAATAACTGTCAAAAACACGTTTCCTGGGAAGGGAGGAGGGTTACCACACAACAATTTTTTTAAAATACCCATAACACTCACCACATGGTTTAATTTATTGGCCACTGTGCAGTTGAGCCGAGCTGTACGTCCCACGGGCTTCACTTCCGGCCAGATCTCGTCCACAATTTCAGGATCCTGGGCAGCAACTGAAATCATCAACGAAAATGAGAATTTACAAATATGTGTTGGCCAGTCACAGCCTTCCAAAAACGCATGCTAAGCCCAAGACTACTAAATTGTGCTTAGGACAAGCGTACTGTAGGTTATGAGCCCCGCAATACTAGACCAGACCTCAATGCTTCAAATGAATGTGCTACTAGTGGTTGTTTGTTTGTTTGTTGTATAACCATGATAACCCCGCACTCAGCAATATTCCAGCTATACGACGGCTGGGTCTGGACCAGACAATAAAGTGATTGACATCATGAGCATGGATCCACGCGACATACAATGTTACCATGGTTACAAACATACAAATAAACTCCCACCAGATAGCACAAATTTGGGTTACAATTTTGCTGTTGAGGAACTTGTGACTGATTATTATCACCTTAAATTACCAAATCACACCAAGACATTGCTATGATGGGCGCTTACCATGTTCACATTTGTGTGCATGCACGGTAGCCACATTTAAACATATATATCCCCAGGGCCAGCTTTCGATGAACCTACGGGTTGGTCGGGTAGCCTAGTGGTTAAAGCATTCGCTCGTCACGCCGAAGACCCGGGTTCGATTCCCAACATGGGTACAATGTGTGAAGCCCATTTCTGGTGAGTGAATAGGGTTTTGTGCCGTGTTTTAGCAATATTCCAGCAAATATCACGGCGGGGAACACCAGAAATGGGCTTCACACATTGTACCCGGGTTGGGAATCGAACCCGGGTCTTTGACGTGCTGTGCGGAGCTCTATTGTTTGGGTTTAAGAATTTATCGAGCATGTGACGTCACACTCGGAAATAATTCCAAGCATGATTTTAAAACACACAGAACTGTCAATGTACTGTCCCTTTAAAAGAAATAGCTAAACTATACATACCCAAACTCACAACTATCTAAGGATCGTAAAGGCACACCTATAGAATCGTAATGGCACACCAAAAGGATTGTAAAGGCACACTCGGATCGTAAAGGGTTGCTTCATGATGAAGGGGATCCAAGGGCTTAGGATAAAGCTGGGGGTAACGTACCCGAACACCACTACTGTATTCGAGGTAATAAGCGCCCAGGGTGCTCTCAAAATTAGAAATAGGGGGTTCTTATTAGAATAAAAAATTTGTGGAAAGATCTCAAATTTTGTGGTTTGTGCTGACAGCCTGAATTGATACAAAAGAAATTTCCAGAATTTAATTGCCCATTATTAAGGATGCATATTACACACAAGTGCGTATTATACACGAATAAATAAGTCTTGTGTACATTGATCAATTGGAGTGAGTGAGTGAGTTAGTTGGGTTTAACGCCGCTTTTAACAGTATTCCAGTTATATCACGGCGTGTCAGCTTAATGTGGGAGGAAAGCCCGAAGTGATGCACATGATGCAGGTCTCAGACGTTTACCACTTCGGTGAAACCCACGAGCACGGGTATGGTGCTGACAAACCTAGAAACATAATCGGGGTGAACCGGGATTCAAACCCACAATAATAGGTTTCTGGCGTGTCCAGGGGACGCAACTCTGCACAGCGAATCGCGGCGCCTTAGACGACTGGGCCACCCGTGCCCCCTTGATCAATTGGAAGGGGTGCTAATTGGGATTGTTCACTAGCCAATATATTATCAAATATCGCTGTGGGCGCTTATTAGAGTGGGGCGCTTATTACGTCAAATTCGGTAACTCAGTTAGGTTCACACTCACAGGGCCATGACAGATCAGTGAGGCTAGAGTAACAGCAAGCAGCAGTCTTAACCAATCTCATTAAAATAATTTAATCAGTTGCTCTGTAATGTTTCATCTCCGGTTGTGACGCACCATTTCATAACACCCATGAAGATCCGGAGTAGAATAGGTCTTCAGCAACCCATACTTGCCCTAAAAGACGACTATGCTTGTCGTAAGAGGCGACTAATGGGATCGAGTGGTCAGGCCAGCTGACTTGGTTGATGCATGTCATCCATCCCAACTGCGTGGATCGATGCTCATGATATCAATCACTGGATTGTCTGGCCCCGACTCAATTACTTACAGACCGCAGTCAAATAGCTGGAATATTGCTGAGTGCGGCGTTAAACAACAAAACAAACAAATGATTAAAATCAAATCTATATTTCAAAGAGCTGAGAACATCCCATTACCTGATTACGGATCACGTCAGACCCACTTTTCAAGTTCTTTGACCGACAAATGTAAATAGAGTTTACAGCACGAGTTTCAAACTGGCGACTACGCTTCGAAACATATTTTGACATATACTCGATTAAAAAATAAAAAACTGAACAAAAGAACATTCTGGAATGGCTAATAGGTGGTCTAGACTGTCGTTCGGAATACTCTGTGTGGCTTTTTTCGAGGTTGCAAGATCAAAAGTCACATTCCAACTGTCACCTTCATGATCTGATAGCGATGCTCTGATTGGTCAGATGAAAGGTTGTTCTGATGTGACCCGCAATGGGATGTCCTCAGAACTTTGTTTAGCAATAGCGAGAACTAAGATCTGATTTTAATGAGATTGCAGTCTTACCTATTTTTCATTTTGGGATTTGAACAAAAAATCTAAAGTATTACAATAGACTATATAGTTTCCTTGTTGTTAAACGCTACACTCAGCACTATTCCAGCAGCCTGTAAATAATCGAGTCTGAACCAGACAGTCCAGTGACTGATAATGTGAACAACAACCCTCGCTGTCAGGGCACAGTGACACACCAGAGTGAGTGAGTGAGTTGTGCTTAATGCTGCTTTTAACAGTATTCCAGTTATATCGCGGCGTGTCAGCTTAATGTGGGAGGTGAAACCCACGACCACGGGTATGGTGCTGACAAACCTTGAAACATAATCGGGGCGAACCAGGATTCGAACCAACAATCATAGGTTTCTGGTGTGCCCAAGGGACGCAACTCTGCACAGCGAATAGCGTTGCCTTAGACGACTGGGGCCCCCGACCACCAGATCCATTAAGTCGCCTCTTAAGTGAGTGAGTGAGTGAGTATGGTTTACGCCGCTTTTAGCAATATTCCAGCAATATCACGATGGGGGACACCAGAAATGGGCTTCACACATTGTACCCATGTCGGGAATCGAACCCGGGTCTTCGGCGTGATGTCGCCTCTTAAGACCAGCATTGGTTGCTGGAGGCCTCATGGGTGAATATAAACTATATATCCCACTCATGAAGATAATGTATGACTTTACTGCATGTTATAACATATTCCTGTGTGATGACTAATTCCCGAAAAATGGAGTGGTTTTTTTTCTCTCTTAATATTTGTATCATATCATTAGTGAAATACTAACAACTAAATGTTTATTTAGGATGGATAATAATAACAATGTAGTGCCAAGCTAAACTAGCTAATGAACCAGTTTTCATTTCTGTCAACATACTTTCTGGGCCGCCATTTTAAACCGAATCCGGAAATACCATCACCAAGGTGGAGTTAATTTTGTCCCCTCAACTCACCTGTCGTCATCAGAGCTGCCAGCACCACAAGAATCAGTATTCTATCCATTTTGGACGCTCGCATCTATTGTGACACCATGTGATCTAAAGATATCAAGACGAAACCACACGGAAATTAGCAACACCTAGGTTATCACCTGCGTTTTCGTACCTGAAGTCACGTGACAATTTGACGAATTTAGACCGGGTTTCCGTCTACTAGTGTTGGTATTTTGGGCGGCGTCCGCGCATATCGAGGTGGAAACCAGTTATTAACATTTTATTCATTTTAGACTTCTATTTCGTTTAAAAGATTAACGTTTGAAATATCGTTGTCGATATAATACGAAATAAACACAAATGTGAACAGTTTTTCAGATTGAGTAAAACTCGTTGACCCAGATTTGCTGTTTTGTTACAGGTGAACGAGCCCTTACCCGAAAACAAAATATAAAAGTAGGAATATTTACCTTTCCGGATACGAAATCAGTACACGAAACGTCTAAGTTGAATATGACAGCATCAACACACACCTGCAACTAGTACAACATGGTATATTATCTAAATTGGACTTTTATTTATACAGAATGTATTCCCGGTCACATATATTTTTTCTCCGAAAGGAGAAGCCGAACATTTTTTCACGGTGCATTTTTGTTGTTGTTTGTGACATCCACCAATTCCACTTCGTTTTAATTTCTCCTAAATCTATTTCTCCAGTATTCTCCAGTATTTTCTTTTTCTAAATGACATATTAATTGGCTATAGTCGTATTGAAAAATCGGCTGTCCTTTAACTTCTTTTGCGAAGTATATATTACTTTTTAAATTCGCATTGGAAACATATAGACTCTTTTGTATATGAACTTGGTTTTATCAACAACAGGGGCACGGGTGGCCCAGTCGTCTGAGGCGCCTCGATTCGCTGTGCAGAGTTGCGTCCCTTGGGCACGCCAGAAACCTATTATTGTGGGCTCGAATCCCGGTTCGCTCCGATTATGTTTCTAGGTTTGTCAGCACCATACCCGTGCTCGTGGGTTTCACCGAAGTGGTAAACGTCTGAGACCTGCATCACTTGGGGCTTTCCTCCCACATTAAGCTGACACGCCGTGATATGACTGGAATAATGTTCAAAGCGGCGTTAAACCAAACTCACTCATTTATTTACCAACAACACATTATTTTTCAGAACATCTAAGATGTCCAGTAAACGAGATTTCATGCGTGTGTTTTCTGTGTGTTTTCCAGCCTTTTCGGGAAGATATTATTCAAAATGCAAAAGCGAAGGGTCGGTGCCATAAGTACAATCAACATTTTATTCGGGATTAGGTTAAAAGATTTATGTTTATGAATATACTCTCCCTTTGACCCATTTGATGTATACTCTTCCAGATATAAGGAATTTACTCGATTCTGATTGGCCAATCAGAGGTATCGTTACACCGAAGTGGTAAACGACCTGCATTCTCTCCTCCCACATCATCCTGATGTGATATAACTGGAATACTGTTCAAGCGGCGTTAAAACTCCCAACTCACTCAATTTAAGACTATATACTGATTGCAGCAAATCAGGGAACTAGGAAATCAAGCACGGCTGGATATTATATATGCAACTTTAAGGACAAGACTTTGTTTGGCAATATGAGGGCCTCACGTGATATATACCGGTGAATTTGTGAGTGAGTTGACGTCACTGTCCTTATTTCACATATATCACGACAGCCACTGAATAATTGGTTTTGGACGAGACATAGAGGATATTTTACGCCACTCGTGAAAATATCTCCTGCCCCGCCCCCTCCCCACTCCCGTCACCCGATGAGAGAAACATGATATTGCAAGAGACATATGAAATATCCTATTTATTATATACTTTTTGTGTAGATGTCTACCGGAAAATTTAATTATTTCATTAAAAACGTAAAACCTTGAAACGTAGATTCTCCCTACCTCTCGCACAGTGACGGTTCACCACCCCTTGTAGTTGCGACTAAGAAAGTAGTTTCGAGTTTGCAAAATCTTAAAAAATATAAACAAAGTAACAAAACATATTTAAGGGCACGAATTCTGTATCATACATATAGATATGATTATATACAAAACTTTAACAAAAAATATTCTTGAATTGTGGCGAAAAGATCATCTCATACACTCACTATTTTCTAATTGCATGAGATATATGTCATTAGCGAATTAAACGGAGCTTGTCACTCGAGAAGTTATATAATTACACTATACGTGGTATAACTGAAGACCGCCTCCTTGGTCTAGTGGTAGAGCGTCCGCCCGGAGAGCGGAAGGTCCGGGGTTCGATCCCCGACCGTGTCGTACCAAAAGACGTTAAAAGATGGTACTTGTTACCCTGTCTGTCGCTCGGCATTAAGGGGCTAAAACAAGGACAGGCTACTTCGGAGTCAGTATACCGCTGAGTATCCATGTTAAACTGAGGCATAGTATCTCAGTAGGCCAGCACCTAGTCTACATACACCGGCTTTATTCTGGACAGGTACAAATAAAACTGAGTTTGTCACTCGAGAAGTTATAATATTATACGCTATACATAATATAACACACATATGTGCATGCACGTCGCTATGTAGGTGGAATTATCTTGAACGCGACGTTGAACTCCATTTCTTCATCTTACGGGCGGTCGGGTAGCCTAGTGGTTAAAGCGTTCGCTCGTCACGCCGAAGACCCGGGTTCGATTCCCCACATGGGTACAATGTGCGAAGCCCATTTCTGGTGTCCCCCGCCGTGATATTGCTGGAATAGTGCTAAAAGCGGCGTAAAATAATACTCACTCACTTCTTCATCTCACCTCCAGAAAATACCAACCCCAAGTCATAGATAACCGAGCAAGCATCACTCGAGAAGTAAGGTGATTACATTGGTAGGTGTTGATATTAACATATATATACGTTATCTCAACAATGACGTGTATCAAATTTCTGATCACAATAATATCCCATGTAGTCCAGGCAATCTAGGCCATTTTTTCACTAAACTTGCAACAATTTGCAACAGAATTTATTTTACCACAATGCATGTCTAAAATGTCCCGAAAACAACATACCAGCCTTTCGTTCATCTAAAAACTAATTAATCTACCAATCCAAAATCCAATAAACATACAAACACCAACCTCACCCGGCTCCCTTAGTTCCCTCCTCCACCCACCTCGGCATTTATTCCAAATTCAAAAAATTCAAAAATTCAATATAAGCAACCCCTAAAAGCCCCCTCTTGGGTTGCACACACCACTTTCACCCTTTTCGGAATACACTAAATGGTCTGGCCAGGCCCGTGTGCGAAATACGCTGAAGTCGGAAAGCGCACGTTAAATCTTCTATATCAGTAAGTCACCCCCCTCCTGGGTTGCACAAACTCACTTTTTCCCTTTTCGGAAACACATTAAATGGCCTGGCCGGGCCCGTGTGCGACATACGCTTGCAGTCGGAAAGCGCACGTTAAATCTCCAATATAAGTAAGTAAGTAAGGCGTTCATTCACCTGATGAAGGAGTAAGCATATACTCCGAAACGTTGTGTTCCTCATAATAAAGAAGTTGTCATCCATACACTCTCTTCCTTATGTGTATACTTCATTCACATAAGTCTTTTACAAGTGGTTATCTGAAACTAGTAGCACGTGCTTTGTTGTTTGTTTGTTTGTTTGTTGTCAACGCTGCACTCAGTAAAATTCCAGTTATATGGCGACGGTCTGTAAATAATCGAATCTGGACCAGACAATCCAGTGATTGGCATCATGAGCATCGGTCCACGCAGTAACCCGACCCCGTTAGTCTTACTATATAGTCGCCTTTTATGGCAAGCATGGGTTGCTGAAGACCTATTCTACCCCGGGTCTTCACGGGTAAACATGCTTTTATAAACACACAGACCCGTGAAGATCCGGATAAGAATTGGTCTTCAGCAACCCATTCTTGCAGTCAGAGGCAACTAACGGGATCGAGTGATCAATCTTGCTGACTTGGTTGATGCATGTTATCGTATCCCAGTTGCGTCGATCGATGCTCATGATGTCAATCAGTGGATTGTCTGGATTATTTACTGACCGTCGTCACTTACCTGGGATATTGCTGAGACGGCGTTAAACAACAAACAAAATCATAAATACATTCTTGAAAATGGAGTCGGAGTGGTACAATGGACACTGCTCTCAGTTGTGATTTCTTATGACCATGGACATGGCTTTCTTGCTTTTTTTGTTGTGTCGAATAATAATTACTGATGTGTCGAACAATATATAGTGATGTGTCGAATAATAATTACTGATGTGTCGAACAATATATAGTGATGTGTCGAATAATAATTACTGATGTGTCGAACAATATATAGTGATGTGTCGAATAATAATTACTGATGTGTCGAACAATATATAGTGATGTGTCGAATAATAATTACTGATGTGTCGAACAATATATAGTGATGTGTCGAATAATAATAAGCGATGTATCGAACAATATATAGTGATGTGTCGAATAATAATTAGTGATGTGTCGAACAATATATAGTGATGTGTCTAATAATAATAAGTGATGTATCGAACAATATATAGGGATGTATCGAATAATAATTAGTGATGTGTCGAACAATATATAGTGATGTGTCGAACAATATATAGTGATGTGTCGAACAATATATAGTGATGTGTCGAATAATGTATAGTGTTATATCGCATAATATATGGTGATGTCTCGCATAATTTATAGTGATGTGTCCACTATATATAGTGATGTGCCGAATATTGTATCGGCGTGAAGAGCGAACGCTTTAACCACTAGGGTACCCGACCGCCCTAAAGAATGTATAATGATGTGTCGAATAATGTATAGTGATGTATCGTATAATGTATAGTGATGTGTCGAATATTGTATCGAATAATATAGAGTGAACAGTGGAATAATGTATAGTAATTTACTGAATAATGTATAGTGATCTGTCGGGTAACGTTTGATGATGTATCGCGTTGTGAGTGAGTTCAAATGTAACGTCGCATCGTCATTATGTCAGCAATATAGCGACGAGAACAACTGAGTCATGAAAACAAAGTTACATTTAAAAACAAATCTGTCAAACATATGCATAGTGTATGGTGATGTAAGGCATAATGAGTAGTCATGTGTCGAATAATGTGTTGTAATGTGATTAGGTTTGAAATGAGATGGCTTTAGG